TCCCATTCCAACATCTAGCCAATATACATCATAAACATAATTACTACACAGATAAGATACTGGAGTAACGTGTCCTGTGTTTTACTGTATTGTGTCTCCTGTTGTTACAGTTTAACATCTGCCTAGGGACTGTATGCAAATCCACTTAATAGCGAATCTGGGTGCAACACGCAAGTTATGTATGCCAACATGGTCCCTGACTATTTAAAAATACACTGAAAAAGAGGCAAAACAAGGTATTGAAAATAACATTTGAAACTAGTCCTGATGTGTGTGCCAACTATCTGTGAGTGGTAAAAACAAGTCTGGTGGCTGGTTTCTGTCTCTCCTTCCTGGAATACCAGAGTCAGACACTAATGACTCTGTTCTCAGCTGATCACTGCTTTACTTTCTGTTTCCTTTCTCCTGTGAGCTGCTATGATTGGTGGATTGTCAGATGGGGAGAGGGAGGAGGGGGAGGTTTAAAGGATGAGAGAAGGGTGCAGGGAACCATTTTGCCTCAAGCATAACAAAGTTCAGACTGAAGTATATTATATTTACCTGTACATCGACAATCAAAACAACCATTTGGTAAGGTGACATTTTCCTTATAGGTTTGACTTGTCAATGAGGATAGCTGTTGTTAAAGGGATACTTCCCCAGTCAGGTGAACTTGTATGTCTGTGTGTCCTGTATGAAGGGAGTTAGAGGTAGCTTTATGATCCAATGCTAACTTGTTTTTGTTAATTTAATATTCTGTGACCTGAGTATTTTTAAAAAAAATGTTGGAGACAAAAATGTTTAGCTGCCCCTTTAAGATTACCTTGGTAACCGGGCCACTCAGTCATCACATATGTCACTAGTAGAGGCCAATTATGTATCATTTTGCTAGCAGTGGGAGCAAACTCAAACATTGAAAAGCAACCTAGCTTGTGAACAAAACCAATTTTAATAGTCAAGAAACACCTGGACAAATTCTCACTTTAGTAGACTTTTGAGTAAATTAGACCAAGTTTTATGCGAGGTGGGGTAGCTATAACGTTAGGATTCAGATTTCTTTGTGCATTTGCAGATATGTAACAAAACGGCAGAAATACTTTGAAAATAGCTACTGCAGCATTTATTTAGCTATAAATCACAACTCGTACTTGTGCCCATACTTGAATAGTTTTATTAAATGCTCACACTGTAGAGCCCGGAGTGTTACCACATGCCAATGTGGCAGGTGAATTTGAAATTCTTACCCGCAAATGCTAAAATCTACCCATGTTTGGCGGGTGTTAATTTTAGGCCCCGTCTATCATATACAGTGGGGGAAAAAAGTATTTAGTCAGCCACCAATTGTGCAAGTTCTTCCACTTAAAAAGATGAGAGAGGCCTGTAATTTTCATCATAGGTACACGTCAACTATGACAGACAAAATGAGGAAAAAAATCCAGAAAATCACATTGTAGGATTTTTAATGAATTTATTTGCAAATTATGGTGGAAAATAAGTATTTGGTCAATAACAAAAGTTTCTCAATACTTTGTTATACACCCTTTGTTGGCAATGACACAGGTCAAACGTTTTCTGTAAGTCTTCACAAGGTTTTCACACACTTGCTGGTATTTTAGCCCATTCCACCATGCAGATCTCCTCTAGAGCAGTGATGTTTTGGGGCTGTCGCTGGGCAACACAGACTTTCAACTCCCTCCAAAGATTTTATATGGGGTTGAGATCTGGAGACTGGCTAGGCCACTCCAGGACCTTGAAATGCTTCTTACAAAGCCACTCCTTCGTTGCCCGGGCGGTATGTTTGGGATCATTGTCATGCTGAAAGACCCAGCCACGTTTCATCTTCAATGCCCTTGCTGATGGAAGGAGGTTTTCACTCAAAATCTCACGATACATGGCCCCATTCATTCTTTCCTTTATACGGATCAGTCGTCCTGGTCCCTTTGCAGAAAAACAGCCCCAAAGCATGATGTTTCCACCCCCATGCTTCACAGTAGGTATGGTGTTCTTTGGATGTAACTCAGCATTATTTGTCCTCCAAACACGACGAGTTGAGTTTTTACCAAAAAGTTATATTTTGGTTTCATCTGACCATATGACATTCTCCCAATCCTCTTCTGGATCATCCAAATGCACTCTAGCAAACTTCAGACGGGCCTGGACATGTACTGGCTTAAGCAGGGGGACACGTCTGGCACAGCAGGATTTGAGTCCCTGGCGGCGTAGTGTGTTACTGATGGTAGGCTTTGTTACTTTGGTCCCAGCTCTCTGCAGGTCATTCACTAGGTCCCCCGTGTGGTTCTGGGATTTTTGCTCACCGTTGTTGTGATCATTTTGACCCCACGGGGTGAGATCTTGCGTGGAGCCCCAGATCGAGGGAGATTATCAGTGGTCTTGTATGTCTTCCATTTCCTAATAATTGCTCCCACAGTTGATTTCTTCAAACCAAGCTGCTTACCTATTGCAGATTCAGTCTTCCCAGCCTGGTGCAGGTCTACAACTTTGTTTCTGGTGTCCTTTGACAGCTCTTTGGTCTTGGCCATAGTGGAGTTTGGAGTGTGACTGTTTGAGGTTGTGGACAGGTGTCTTTTATACTGATAACAAGTTCAAACAGGTGACATTAATACAGGTAACGAGTGGAGGACAGAGGAGCCTCTTAAAGAAGAAGTTACAGGTCTGTGAGTGCCAGAAATCTTGCTTGTTTGTAGGTGACCAAATACTTATTTTCCACCATAATTTGCAAATAAATTCATTAAAAATCCTACAATGTAATTTTCTGGATTTTTTTTTCTCAATTTGTCTGTCATAGTTGACGTGTACCTATGATGAAAATTACAGGCCTCTCTCATCTTTTTAAGTGGGAGAACTTGCACAATTGGTGGCTGACTAAATACATTTTTCCCCCACTGTACTTCTAGTTATTGCGCAAACGCTATTTAGCAATTGCTCTAGCACTAGTTAGCAACTTCCTTCAAACTGCACGCTGAGACATAAACATGATATGCATGAGTTCATCTGACATTGGGGAAGTACAGCTGAAGTCGGAGGTTTACATACACCTTAGCCAAATACATTTAAACTCAGTTTTTCACAATTCCTGACATTTAATCCCAGTAAAAATTCCCTGTTTTAGGTCAGTTAGGATCAGCACTTTATTTTAAGAATGTGAAATAGCAGATTTATTTCAGCTTTTATTTCTTTCATCACATTCCTAGTGGGTCAGAAGTTTACATACACTCAATTAGTATTTGGTAGCATTGCCTTTAAATTGCTTAACTTGGGTCAAATGTTTCGGGTAGCCTTCCACAAGCTTCCCACAATAAGTTGGGTGAATTTTGGCCCATTCCTCCTGACAGAGCTGGTGTAACTGAGTCAGGTTTGTAGGCCTCCTTGCTCGCACACGCTTTTTCAGTTCTGCCCACATTTTCTATAGGATTGAGGTCAGGGCTTTGTGATGGCCACTCCAATACCTTGACTTTGTTGTCCTTAAGCCATTTTGCCACAACTTTGGAAGTATGCTTGGGGTCATTGTCCATTTGGAAGACCCATTTGCGACCAAGCTTTAACTTCCTGACTGATGTCTTGAGATGTTGCTTCAATATATCCACATAATTTTCCTTCCTCATGATGCCATCTATTTTGTGAAGTGCACCAGTCCCTCCTGCAGCAAAGCACCCCCACAGCATGATGCTGCCACACCCGTGCTACACGGTTGGGATGGTGTTCTTCGGCTTGCAACCTACCCCCTTCTTCCTCCAAACATAACGATGGTCATTATGGCCAAACAGTTATATTTTTGTTTCATCAGACCAGAGGACATGTCTCCAAAAAGTACAATCTTTGTCCCCATGTGCAGTTGCAAACCGTAGTCTGGCTTTTTTATGGCGGTTTTGGAGCTGTGGCTTCTTCCTTGCTGAGCGGCCTTTCAGTTTGTCGATATAGGACTTGTTTTACTGTGGATATAGATACTTTTGTACCTGTTTCCTCCAGCATCTTCACAAGGTCCTTTGCTGTTGTTCTGGGATTGATTTGCACTTTTCGTACCAAAGTACGTTCATCTCTAGGAGACAGAACGCGTCTCCTTCCTGAGCGGTATGACGGCTGCGTGGTCCCATGGTGTTTATACTTGCGTACTATTGTTTGTACAGATGAACGTGGTACCTTGAGGTGTTTGGAAATTGCTTCCAAGGATGAACCAGACTTGTGGAGGTCTACAATTGTTTTTCTGAGGTCTTGGCTGATTTCTTTTGATTTTCCCATGATGTCAAGCAAAGAGGCACTGAGTTTGAAGGTAGGCCTTGAAATACATCCACAGGTACACCTCCAATTGACTCAAATGATGTCAATTAGCCTATCAGAAGCTTCTAAATCCATTATATAATTTTCTGGAATTTTCCAAGCTGTTTAAAGGCACAGTTAATTTAGTGTATGTAAACTTCTGATCCACTGGAATTGTGATACAGTGAATTATAAGTGGATTAATCTGTCTGTAAACAATTTTTGAAAAAATTACTTGTGTCATGCAAGAAATTTGTGGAGTGGTTGAAAAAACGAGTTTTAATGACTCCTACCTAAGTGTATGTAAACTTCCGACTTCAAAGGGCCTCATTGCCAAAATGCTGAAGTTTCCCTTTAAAATGTTCACTTCCTCTCTATGCTTATCACGTTTAAATGTTTTACAAGTTAAATATTTTGGCTGATATTAATAACTTTGAGCGCAAGTTTAAAGCTGGACTGCTTTTTATCTAGCTAATTGATGTACAGATTGAATGGGATATTCTGGGTTCTTGTTGGGACCTTTAAACTCAGGTACTGTGTGTAAGATAACAGTTTGAAATGTCTGAGTCATGAGATTGCTTCACTCTTTTACCAAAGGTCTTATGTTATTACCTGCTATTACACTGCACACTCCACCCAGACTGAGTGATACAAGCATTATCTAAAATGTTCCTTGTGTTTGCATTGATACTGACCTAACTTCCTGTGTGTGTGTGTGTGTGTGTGTGTGTGTGTGTGTTTTAGCGATGTCGGAGACTGAGAAGGTCCAGAGGGACATCCTGTCCCTGGTGGAGCAGCACCCAGAGGGAATCCCCCTGAATAAGCTGACGGTGGCCTACAGCCAGAAGTACCACCGCAACCTCACCCTGTCCTCCCTGGGCTTCAGCTCCAAATCTAGCCTGGTGGCCTCTCTGGACGGGGAGCTCTGTGTGGACGGGGACCTAGTCTTCCATAGGACCCATAGAGGAGCTGCTGGAGCTCCAGCACAGGCAGGGGGAGACCAGGTTAATAACATACCCCACAGACCTCGGTCTGGGAAGGACCCACCATCGAGGACCCTCACCCCCAGAGCTGTACCACTGAAAACCCCACCTCCGTCTACTGCCCCGATCAGCTGTGGTTCTGGGTCTGATCCCCTACAACCGGCCCCAGGCTCTTGCTATGGGCATCCCCCAAGCTCGGGGTCCTCCATTGGGGCTACCTGTCCTTCTATTCCCCCCTCTGCTGTCCCTCGCTCCTCCCCTCTCCTCTCCTTCTCCAGCACAGTGAAAGAGAATGAAGAGGTGACTCAGGAAGAGCTACTAGACAGAGTTAGAGAAGTATGTTATTTTTCATGATGTTTTCGTTTTGAAAGTTGTTTCTGTTTTATTATATTATCTCTCTAGGCCGTTGCTGGAAAGAGATTATTGTTGTTAGAATTGCCTGGTATAAATAAGGGTTAAAAATCATACTTATTTCTTAAAAACATACTGTTCTCAAATCTGTTGTTCTGAATGTTGCTTTTTGTATTGTAAAGTGGTTGGTGTATTGTTTTGAGTGCACGTTTAAATAAAGCTTGATTGGATGTGATGTAGGTGATAAAGGTGTACCCCCCTGCCGCCACAACCGTCGTCCAGCTACAGAACGGCTACTTCCTGCGCTTTGGGAAGCCACTTCCTCTCCAGCAGTACAGGTCTCTGTACGACAACCATGAGAAACGACCTGCAGCACCCTGCTCAGCTGTAGACCAGGGAAAGACCGGAGCAGAGAAACCAGCAGGTAGAGAGACCATCATAACTCATAATGTTAAGAAGTTGTAGCTGAGCAGCTGCCATGCTGGCTGGTTCAATATTGACTGTATATGTTGAAATGACCTTGCAATTGAACTGTTAACTCAGATTTGACCCATTTAACTATCTGTCTCTCTCAGCCACTCCAAAGAAGACCGAGAGTGAGGAACAATCTGCCCCTTCCACACCCCTGAACAACGGATACATACGGGGCCGGGTGCGCTCTAAAACAAGGTCCCCCCTGCTACAAACAACGTCACCAATTCCATCCTCGTCCCCGTTACTCTCCCAGCCCCCCGTCACGCCCCAAACCCCCCAGCCTGGTACCTCCGCGTCGGACTCTGACTTCCCAGCGCTGAATGCGGAGCTGAGGATGACCAAAGCCCAAGAGCGGAGGCTGCTAGCTGTGGGACAGAGGGAAGGAAACTCCCCTGTCTTCAGAGAGGCCTACCAGGCCCAGCTCAGGGAAGTGCATGGGGCTAACGTGCGAGCTGTGGAGGCGCAGGCTGAGGCTGAGGAGGAGGAGGAGGAAGATGGGATGAGGAGGAGGAGGAGGAAGAAGGCTCTGGATCCTGAGGCGGTGAACAGTCTGGTGGAGGACGTCATACGAGACATCGCAGCCGAGGGAGAACTTGTCACCAGAGAGAAGGTGACAATCTTTCCCCACTCCCCTTATTTACCTGGAATTACAACACACACAAAACACTACAATTTATTTTCAAGAGGCACCACCTAGTGGACACTTTGGGATATTCTGCTGTCACTCCAGCCTCTTTCTCTGCTTCTCAACCTACAGTGAGGAGAAAAAAGTATTTGATCCCCTGCTGATTTTGTATGTTTGCCCACTGACAGACATGATCAGTCTATAATTTTAATGGTAGGTTTATTTGAACAGTGAGAGACAGAATAACAACAACAAAATCCAGAAAAACGCATGTCAAAAATGTTATGCATTCATTTGCATTTTAATGAGGGAAATAAGTATTTGACCCCTCTGCAAAACATGACTTAGTACTTGGTGGCAAAACCCTTGTTGGCAATCACAGAGGTCAGACGTTTCTTGTAGTTGCCCACCAGGTTTGCACACATCTCAGGAGGAATTTTGTCCCACTCCTCTTTGCAGATCTTCTCCAAGTCATTAAGGTTTCTAGCCTGACGTTTGGCAACTCGAACCTTCAGCTCCCTCCACAGATTATCTATGGGATTAAGGTCTGGAGACTGGCTAGGCCACTCCAGGACCTTAATGTGCTTCTTCTTGAGCCACTCCTTTGTTGCCTTGGCTGTGTGTTTTGGGTCATTGTCATGCTGGAATACCCATCCACGACCCATTTTCAATGCCCTGGCTGAGGGAAGGAGGTTCTCACCCAAGATTTGACGGTACATGGCCCCGTCCATCGTCCCTTTGATGCGGTGAAGTTGTCCTGTCCCCTTAGCAGAAAAACACCCCAAAGCATAATGTTTCCACCTCCATGTTTGACAGTGGGGATGGTGTTCTTGGGGTCATAGGCAGCATTCCTCCTCCTCCAAACACGGCGAGTTGAGTTGATGCCAAAGACCTCGATTTTGGTCTCATCTGACCACAACACTTTCACCCAGTTCTCCTCTGAATCATTCAGATGTTCATTGGCAAACTTCAGACGGGCCTGTATATGTGCTTTCTTGAGCAGGGGGACCTTGCGGGCGCTGCAGGATTTCAGTCCTTCACGGCATAGTGTGTTACCAATTGTTTTCTTGGCGACTATGGTCCCAGCTGCCTTGAGATCATTGACAAGATCCTCCCGTGTAGTTCTGGGCTGATTCCTCACCGTTCTCATGATCATTGCAACTCCACGAGGTGAGATCTTGCATGGAGCCCCAGGCCGAGGGAGATTGACAGTTATTTTGTGTTTCTTCCATTTGCGAATAATCGCACCAACTGTTGTCACCTTCTCACCAAGCTGCTTGGCGATGGTCTTGTAGCCCATTCCAGCCTTGTGTAGGTCTACAATCTTGTCCCTGACATCCTTGGAGAGCTCTTTGGTCTTGGCCATGGTGGAGAGTTTGGAATTTGATTGATTGATTGCTTCTGTGGACAGGTGTCTTTTATACAGGTAACAAGCTGAGATTAGGAGCACTCCCTTTAAGAGTGTGCTCCTAATCTCAGCTCGTTACCTGTATAAAAGACACCTGGGTGCCAGAAATCTTTCTGATTGAGAGGGGGTCAAATACTTATTTCCCTCATTTAAAATGCAAATCAATTGATAACATTTTTTTGTTGTTATTCTGTCTCTCACTGTTCAAATAAACCTACCATTAAAATTATAGACTGATCATGTCTTTGTCAGTGAGTGGGCAAACGTACAAAATCAGCAGGGGATCAAATACTTTTTTCCCTCACTGTAGGTCCCAGAGGGCCGTTTTCCAACTTGCCTTTTGTTGTGTTCTTGGGATGGTTTTAACCCCTTCCTCCCTGTCCTGTTCTGTCCTGTGCCCAGGTGATCTCCAGGGTGTGCAGGCTGATGCAGATCCCCTCTCTGGAGGCAGGCAGGATAGACCTCCGCTGGCAGATACCAGCTCTGAATGACCTGCAACGCACCCTTCGAGAGATCAACATGTTCATAGAGGTCAGGATGCTCACACACACACAAAGCACCTGCAACGCACTTTCAAATCAACATGTTCAGTTTGCACACATACGCACGTTCAGTTTTTAAACTGAAGAATCGGATCATTAACTGGCGTGTATCCATATCTCTCTCAGTCTGTAGACGCTGTGAATGCGACGTGTACCCTGTATGAGTTGGGTCAGAACCTGGCTGGTCTGAAGAACAAGAAGCGTTTTGAGGAGCTGAACCTGGGGCCGCTGTGTAAACTGCCTCTCATCCATCGCATGTTCAAGATGGACAGCAACACCAAGGACGAGGACATTCACCAAATAGAGACTGTTGACATACTGAGGGTAAGAGAGACATTGAACACATAGATACTGTGGACATATTGAGGGCAAGAGAGACACTCCTAGAGAGACATTCACCAGATAGAGGCTCTTGACTATCTTACTTTGTCATTGTTTCTCTAACTGGGGGCCAGGTATAATTGTCCATTACTTGGAACACCCAGTGTGGGTGGCTGTCTTTTTCATGGTCCTTTGAGCCAGATTTAGGCAAAGCGACAGGCAGAGTAAGGGCTTTGGTAGTATATAAATAAATAGATAAAGATATGTGGCTATTTTTCTTGATTGTTTGTTGTGCTGTATTTTAGGTTGATCTGATTTTGATTAGATTGTGTCTATGAATTGTAAGTGCAGGGCTCCCTTGCGAAAGAGACCCTGAGGTGACTCCCTAATTTAAATAAAGGTAAAAATATATATATATATTGATCGAACAATCTTTTTCCTGTCTCCTCCTTCCAGAGTCTGCGTGTGTTCAGGAGGAAACAGACTAAGCCCAAGGTGGACCTGGCTGAGTTTATGAAGCACCTATCTGACCAGTATAGCTGTGACTCTCCCTACGAACTGGGCATTCGTATACACAGCGTGGGCCTGCCCATAGCCGTAAGTTTTGAGTTTCGCGGAGGTATAAGTTCCAAGTGTTGGAATATGATCAGAGGTTATGAATCTGTATGAATCTCTTATTTGAAATAACATTATTATTGTTGTTATTATATCTCATTCATGTCTCCTCCTCCCCCAGACCTTACAGAAGGCGGTGAGCTCAGAACATGTGTGTATGGAGCGTGCCCGGGAGGCCATCCAGAGGGAGTTGGAGGAGGAGGTGGGGGAGAGGATGAGGAAGATGAAGAGGGGCGTGATGGAGGGAGCACAGGGTCCCGTCCTCTTCTCCTCTTTCGGGAGTGCCGAGCTGAGGAAGAAATACGTTACTATGACTGCAGCCGAGGCCGTGCTCGAGGTCTTCACCAACGCATCTGGGGTCTTCAACCCTAAGATGACCAAGGTGATTGGTTGGTTGATTGATGGATAGGTTAATTAATTGATTAACATATGACGACAAAACAACACTTATGGATGGGGGGTTGGATGTTTTTTGGTTGGGTGGTTGGTTTAATCAGGTGGGTTAGAGCTGGGCGGGAAGCAAAGCCTGCAAACCCTGTAGATGACCAGGGCTGGGGTTCACTATTTTAAACACTCACTTTTAACTAACATTTGCTGTGGCTGCTGTGCTTGTATGATGTTTCTTGCAGAATGCAGCCTTGGTGCACCATGGCTTGGTGTCACTGTTGCGATCCTGTACTCAGTAGGAGTAGGTAAACCCTGTGACGTTGGTGCAGGGTTTTGTGCCATCATTTGCATGAATGCCTCAGAGACGTTGTGGTCAAGTTCGGTCCAGTTTATTTTGCCACTCATTCCTTGTGATGTTGGAGGAGAGTTTTGTGCATACAGTTGCCGGAATGCCTGATAGGCTTTGGTCCAGTCTCTTTTTCGGTCATCCACTGATCTTTTCCTTGCTTGAGCAACAGAGGATTTTTCACATTCCTCAAAAACGTGCATTTTGGCAGCTGATGCAGCCATCTCAGCTTCCATTTCCAAGAATTCCCTTTTTGCCTTTAATTGGGTTTCTTCCATATCAAGGGCATGTCTATTTTCCAAAGCTTTAGCTTCAAAGCAGCGTGCTCAGCCTGTGCTTTCATTCTAGCACTGGATGCCCTTGACCTTGTGCTGGATGCACATTCCTTTTTTGATACAACAGAGACACTGTCATCTGGACCAATGACACTTTGCAGGTGGGAATTACCTTTCACTTGATCAAGAAATTCCTTAAAGCAATAGTTTTGGTTCATACCAATCGGCATGATCAGACTCTCTTTCCTCTTCAGGCAACATTTTATGCACAGCCACATGCAGTTCCATAAAGTCAGCCAATAAACCATTGAACACCTCAACATTAGTACTGACAACTTCAACATTTTCGCCACCATCCATCAATGCTTGAATTGCATTCTTCTTCTTAATTAACGTTGCAAGCTTCCATCGTCGGGCGCCAATCAACTTGTACAACTTTTTCTCATCCAGCTCATTCAGACCTTCAGAATGAGGATCCGACATTTCCATTCACTATTTTCAGTTCCACACTTCAATATCAACAGTGCATTTCCAATAGCGCCTAATGAACCCATTCACAGTTGAATAGCTTGCGACGTTTGCTTCCAAAACAGACGCATCAAACATTTCCAAACCAACAATCACAAAAGAGCAGATTAGCTTGCACATTATACCGGTATTGTACTCAGTCTTTAATTTCATTATCTTTTTGTGGTTTTTACCCCCTTTTTCTCCCCAATTTTGGGATTACGATCTTGTTTCATTGCTGCAACTCCCCAACGGGCTCGGGAGAGGTGAAGGTCAAGTCATGCGTCCTCCATAACATGACCCGCCAAGCCACGCTTCTTAACACCCGCCCGCTTAACCCGGAAGCCAGCTACACCAATGTGTCGGAGGAAACACCGTTCAACTGACGACCGAAGTCAGCCTGCAGGCACCCGGCCCGCCACAAGGAGTCGCTAGAGCGCGATGAGCCAAGTAAGGCCTCCCCGGCCAAACTCTCCCCTAACCCGGACAACGCCAATTGTGCGCCACCCTATGGGACTCCCGGTCACGGCTGGTAATGACACAGCCTGGGACACCCCAGGCTGTAGTGACGCCGCAACACTGCGATACAGTGCCTTAGACCGCTGCGCCACTCGGGAGGCCACTCACTGTCTTTTTCGTCAGCGCTGCTTCGCTCCAAGTGGCTTGATAAATCTATTAAGTGTGGAACTCCATTTAAATCCATGGCAATTGCACTTGTCACTAATGCCTTTTCACTGACTTCTGTAGGTGCCTCCTCCTCAGTCGGCTTGTGGTTTTTCTTATCCATTTCAAAGTATAACAAACTGGGGTTCTTGCTCATACAGTGCATTCGGAAAGTATTCAGACCCCTTGACTTTTTCCTCAGTTTGTTACGTTACAGCCTTATTCTAAAATTGATTTAAATAAAACATTTTCCTCATCAATCTACATACAATACCCCATAATGACAAAATAAAAAACGAATACCTTATTTACGTAAGTATTCATACCCTTTGCTATGAGACTCGAAATTGAGCTAAGGTGCATCCTGTTTCCATTGATCATCCTTGATGTTTCTACAACTTGATTGGAGTCCACCTGTGGTAAATTCAATTGATTGGACATGATTTGGAAAGACACACACCTGTCTATATAAGGTCCCACAGTTGACCGTGCATGTCAGAGCAAAAACCAAGCCATGAGGTCGAAGGAATTGTCTGTAGAGCTCCGAGACAGGATTGTGTCGAGGTACACTTCCCCAAACATTTCTGCAGCCTTGAAGGTCCCCAAGAACACAGTGGCCTCCATCATTCTTAAATGGAAGACATTTGGAACCACCAAGACTCTTCCTAGAGCTGGCCTCCCAGCCAAACTGAGCAATCGGGGGAGAAGGGCCTCTTGGTCAGGGAGGTGACCAAGAACCCGATGGTCACTCTGACAGCACTCCAGCGTTCCTCTGTGGAGATGTTAGAACCTTCCAGAAGGACAACCATCTCTGCAGCACTCCACCAATCAGGCCTTTATGGTAGAATGGCCAGATGGAAGCCACTCCTCAGTAAAAGGCACATGATAGCCCACTTGGAGTTTGCCAAAAGGCACCTAAAGGACTCTGACCATGAGAAACAAGACTCTGGTCTAATGAAACCAAGATTGAACTCTTTCGCCTGAATGCCAAGCGTCACGTCTGGAGGAAACCTGGCACCATCCCTACGGTGAAGCATGGTGGTGGCAACATCATGCTGTGTGGAGGTTTTTCAGCGGCAGGGACTGGGAGACTAGTCAGGATCAAGGGAAAGATGAACGGAGCAAAGTACAGAGATCCTTGATGAACCTGCTCCAGAGCGCTCAGGACCTCAGACTGGGGCGAAGGTTCACCTTCCAACAGGACAACAACCCTAAGCACACAGCCAAGACAACGCAGGAGTGGCTTCGGGACAAGTCTCTGAATGTCCTTGAGTGGCCCAGTCAGAGCCCGGACTTGAACCCGATCAAACATCTCTGGAGAGACCTGTAAATAGCTGTGCAGTGACGATCCCCATCCAATCTGACAGAGCTTGAGAGGATCTGCAGAGAAGAATGGGAGAAACTCCCCAAATACAGGTGTGCCAAGCTTGTAGCATCATACCCAAGAAGACTTGAGACTGTAATCGCTGCCAAAGGTGCTTCAATAAAGTACTGAGTAAAGGGTCGAAATACTTATGTTATCAGTTTTCATTTTTAATAAATTTGCAAACATTTCTAAAAACCTGTTTTTGCTTTGTCATTATGGGGTATGTGTTTAGATTGAGGGGGGGGGGGGACAATTTAATCAATTTTAGAATAAGGCTGTAACGTAACATAATATGAAAAAAGTCAAGGGGTCTGAATACTTTCCGAATGCACTGTATGTCCCCTTGTGAGACATCCAAAGCACAGTCCTTAGCTTTTGAAAAAGGCAACTTTATCCTTGTTTGCCTGTGTTTCAACTTCTGGCAGAGATCCAATGCATGAACACTATCACAGAAAATGCAATGTTTCTTAAAAACACCTAAAATGTTGTCCTCTTGCTTTTTAAAAACTTAAATGTAGCGGCTTTCGAATAGCCGTGGGAAAACCAGTTGCAAGATTTGAGACGCACATCCAAAATCCAATAGAAAGTCAAGAATCCAATGGCTTGATGAATAAAACTTAAAACGTTTTATTTGTAGAATCCAAAATGATAAGTGCAAGGTAAACAAAGGTTCCAATATTCAATTTAAACTAAAAAGATCAAGGTAAGACATATGTGCGTTTCAAATCTTGCAACTGGTTTTAAGTTACTCAAAATGGAGCAATATGACCAAATAATCAAATATTTGCATAACCAAAGAAACTGACTCCAACAGTTACAAATGTTTAGATTTCTAAAGGTCAAACTCTGACCCTAGAATCCCTCCTCCCTAAATCTAGCAGAAACCTCATTAACCTTCTCTCTATTACCCCTCAGGAGGCTGCTCTGATCCCTGTCTCTGCTAGGGGACTTTGTGTAAAACTTGTCTGGAATTTAGCTGGTTATCCCCCATGACATGTCACACCATGCCCTGGCTTTTATTTGACACTGGGTGATAATTCCACTAAGCCCCTGCTTCGGTCCACGAGCAAGAGGGGCCGAGTAAGAGAGAGGTGGATCACAGTCAGATGAGTGTGTGAACGACTGTGCCTCTTCTCCGCTTATTAAGGAAATGTCACTGTAAGTAATAATTGCTAATTGGCTAATCCTAAACAAGCCAGAGGAAAAGGTTGTTAGTGAACAAAACGCTGGCTGGCTGACCTGTTTTAGCTGTAGCTGTTTCAGCCTGAGGCTGGTATGCTTTGTTGAATATGTTCCACTGTCACATCACATTTTTCCGGCCCACAAATGTAATTTGACAAACAAATCTGCCCACACTGTCTTATTTAGGATGATGTCTTGCGTCTGAGGTTTACTCTAATGCCGTAATGTGACTGACGGAGTGTGCTGTCATTTCCTGTCTAGTCGGTGCAGGACTTCATGCTGCGGGTGTCAGCTGACCGTCTGGCCAGGGCCTTGTTCCAGCTGGCTATCTGTGGGGGGTCGCTGGCCGCCCCTCAGGACCTGGTGCCCAAAGAGAAGCCAGCCAGACCCACTCAGGAGAGGAGAGCTGAGGAGAAAACACAGGCTACACCACCCAGCGAAGGTAGCTGCTAACATCATTCATTATCAGTGTCTCACTCCGTTTCAATGATAAGATTAAGTGTAGGTTGGGGATCTTGAAATTGTTAAAAAGTCCTATCATATGACAGTGAATGTACAACAAGGACCTTTGTGTTTGCATGTACGTGTGTGTCTCAGCCGCAGTCAAGCAGATCCTGAAGGAGAACCTGTCCAATCACAGCTCTGCATTCACCCTGGGCCATGTGGCGTCTCTGGAGAGGAAGTTAGCCAAGCACTTCCAGGTCACAGAGTTCACCTCTCTGGAGCAGGGCTCATTCCTGGAGTTCCTGGTCAAACAGGCTCAGGTAACATAAACGACTTATCTTCTAATCTTTCTGTCTGTTCAATCACTCTCCTGTTCTACTCCTCTCCCGTCACCCCTCTTCCTTCAGTGGTCATGAGGGAAAAGAGGCGAGGAGAGGAACCATTCTAGAGTGCATTTGTGCGTCCCAAATAGCACCATATTCCCTATATATAGTGCACTACTTTTGCCTGTGCTCTGGTCAAAAGTAGTGCACTAAATAGTAGTGCACTAAATACGGACTAGGGTGTGATTTCGGACAGAGCCTGATACTCCTCATGCTGTATTGATGAATCCATCCTCTCCTCTGTCTGTGTGCAGGTCCTGCAGGAGACAGTAGGTGGCGCTGTGGTCGTGGGCAGTAGTAGTGGTGGAGGTCAGGACTGGCAGGGCCAGGGCTGTGGCTTCAGACCCAGCAGACAAGATGTGTTTGAGTTCATCAAACAGTGTGGCACTACAGCAGCCAACGAACCAGACGGGGTGAGTGAGACGCGGGGTCACGCTCGCACACACACACCACACACTCCTATTGATTACTATGATGGAGAAAGTACATAAATAAAAAAACTTCTAAATGTCTGTACTGATAATGTTTGTTGATCTCTCGATCTCTGTGGGTGTGTTTCTCCCAGCTGTCCCACATCGAGTGGTGTCTGAGAGCCCACTACGGGGTGAGGGACAGTCGAGACCTGGGGCTGGGACCTCTTAGGACCTTGGTGGGACTGGTGCAGCGCCAGAGAGAGCTCAGTCTGGGAGGAGGGCTCAGCCAGGTCCGCTACGAGGCAGCTCTACTCCCCAGAGACACCAGGTAAGAGGGTGTGTCCCAAATGGCACTCTATTCCCTATATAGTGCACTATCCCTCCACTATGTAGGGAATAGGGTATCATTTGGGGAAAAAAACAGACTCACACCTCTCTTACAGTACAGTACAGAGGAACTTTGGTGGCAGATTGGGTGTATGGCCTTTAATTGGACTGATCTAATCAAATGTCAATCTCCTTTTCACTCATCTCTCACCCCTGTTCACTCTTTCTTTTTCTCTCACTCCTTCCATGCTCTATTACTCTACCCCTTCTCTCCCTCTCTTCCCCCTCTCTCTCTCCCTCTCTTCCCCCTCTCTCTCGCTCTCTCTCTCTGTCTGTCTGTCCCCAGTAGCAGTAGTATAGGTGAGGCCCAGCAGACGGTGGGTATCCTAGGGGAGGTATCTCAGACCCAGGCCTTGTCCTGTCTCTTCTCCTGCCCTCTACTGGATGAGCTGGGTCAGTGGAGCCAGTGGGAGCTGGTCTTCAGGCCCCGCCACGGACCCCTTAAGGACTTCATTGACAGGAATGCTGGTAGGAACCATACACAGCAATTACAAATTGACCTCCTATCACCTACAGTCTTAGACAGGGGTTGTAGAGTTGCCGATAGTAATGTATCTGTTAAAGGCCAATAATGTTTGATCATGTTGGTGGGCTTATCTACAGACATTTCGTTTCTTGTGTTTTTTTGTTCTAAATTGAAAATCGATACACAATTGATCATAATAAATATACATGACATGTCCATCTGTTGTGGGGAAGCGAGCACAGACCTGTCAGCGTTGGAGGTGTCCCCAGGCGTTCTCCTGCGGGTCACCACCTGTACAGGGGACAAGCTCTTCTCCCAGGCAGCCATGACCCTTGACCCCGTGGGCACAGCCGGACACCTGGTCTCCATGGTGGTGGCTGATGGGATAGCCAACACCCCCACCGCCCTCCTGGCCAATCACATGGAGAGCTCTCTGGCAGCGGCGGTAGCGAAGGAAGGTAAGAATGCGATGGGGTACTTGATATCGTGATTATTTGCATCAATCCAAACTGCTTCATGAGCGCTACAGAAACATTGCTAACCAAAAAAAGGTATCTTGCTGGTGTGCACTTGCATTAAATTAACTACACCCAAAAATCTAGTTTTTACCAGACCTCAAAAGTGGTCTCCTGATGTGGTTTAAGCATTGTTGTGGACTTAGAACATCCAATTATGTTGTTTTTCTATGAAAAAGTGTGATTTCCAGGGCTTAACATTCAAGTAAATTTGGCACACCGGGCCAGTACCACTACTGTCCCGAATGAGAAGATTACTGGCCCAAGATCAAATTGTATTTGTCACATGCGCCGAATACAACAGGTGTAGATCTTACAGTGAAATGCTTACTTACAAGCCCTTAACCAACAATGCAGTGTTAAGAAAATATTGACTAAATAAAATAAAAAAGTAACATAATAACAATAACTAGGCTATATACAGGGGGTACCGGCACTGAGTCAATGTGCGGGGGGTACAGGTTGTCGAGGTAATTTGTACATGTAGGTAGGGGTGAAGTGACTATGCATAGATAATAAACAGCGAGTAGCAGCACTGTAAAAACAAAAGGGGGGGGGGGGGGTCAATGCAAATAGTCCGGGTGGCCATTTGATTAATTATGGCTTGGGTGTTGAAGCTGTTAAGGAGCCTTTTGGACCTAGACTTGGCGCTCCGATACCGCTTGCAGTGCGGTAGCAGAGAGAACAGTCTATGATTTGAATGACTGGAGTCTTTGACAATTTTTTGGGCCTTCCTCTGACACCGCCTAGTATATAGGTCCTGGTTGGCAGGAAGCTTGGCCCCAGTGAAACAGACGCCTCACAGGTCCTCAACTGGCAGCTTCATTAAATAGTACCCGCAAAACACCAGTCTCAACGTCAACAGTGAAGCGGCGACTCCGGGATGCTGACCTTCTAGGCAGAGTTGCAAAGAAAAAGCTATATCTCAGACTGGCCAATAAAAAGAAAAGATTAAGATGGGCAGTCTGAGATATGGATTTTTCTTTGCAACTCTGAAGGTCAGCATCCCGGAGTCGCCTCTTCACTGTTGACGTTGAGACTGGTGTTCTGCGGGTACTATTTAATGAAGCTGCCAGTTGAGGACCTGTGAGGCGTCTGTTTCTCAAACTAGACACTCTAATGTATTTGTCCTCTTGCTCAGTTGTGCACCGGGGCCTCCCACACCTCTTTCTATTCTGGTTAGAGCCAGTTTGCGCTGTTCTGTGAAGGGAGTAGTACACAGCGTTGTACGAGATCTTCAGTTTCTTGGCAATTTCTCGCATGGAATAGACTGATGAGTTTCAGAAGAAAGTTATTTGTTTCTGGCCATTTTGAGCCTGTAATCGAACCCACAATTGCTGATGCTCCAGATACTCAACTAGTCTCAAGAAGGCCAGTTTTATTGCTTCTTTAATCAGCACAACAGTTTTCAGCTGTGCTAACATAATTGCAAAAGGGTTTTCTAATTATCAATTAGCCTTTTAAAATGAAACTTGGATTAGCAAACACAACGTGCCATTGGAACACAGGAATGATGGTTGCTGATAATGGGCCTCTGTATGCCTATGTAGATATTCCATTAAAAATCAGCCGATTCCAGCTACAATATCCATTAACAATGTGTACACTGTATTTCCGATCAATTTGATGTCATTTTAATGGACAAAAAAATTGCTTTTCTTTCGAAAACAAGGACATTTTTAAGTGACTCCAAACTTTTGAACGGTAGTGTGTGTGTGTGTGTGTGTGTGTGTGTATATATACAGTGGGGAAAAAAAGTATTTAGTCAGCCACCAATTGTGCAAGTTCTCCCACTTCAAAAGATGAGAGAGGCCTGTAATTTTCATCATAGGTACACGTCAACTATGACAGACAAATTGAAGAAAAAAAATCCAGAAAATCACATTGTAGGATTTTTAATGAATTTATTTGCAAATTATGGTGGAAAATAAGTATTTGGTCACCTACAAACAAGCAAGATTTCTGGCTCTCACAGACCTGTAACTTCTTCTTTAAGAGGCTCCTCTGTCCTCCACTCGTTACCTGTATTAATGGCACCTGTTTGAACTTGTTATCAGTATAAAAGACACCTGTCCACAACCTCAAACAGTCACACTCCAAACTCCACTATGGCCAAGACCAAAGAGCTGTCAAAGGACACCAGAAACAAAATTGTAGACCTGCACCAGGCTGGGAAGACTGAATCTGCAATAGGTAAGCAGCTTGGTTTGAAGAAATCAACTGTGGGAGCAATTATTAGGAAATGGAAGACATACAAGACCACTGATAATCTCCCTCGATCTGGGGCTCCACGCAAGATCTCACCCCGTGGGGTCAAAATGAACACAAGAACGGTGAGCAAAAATCCCAGAATCACACGGGGGGACCTAGTGAATGACCTGCAGAAAGCTGGGACCATAGTAACAAAGCCTACCATCAGTAACACACTACGCCGCCAGGGAATAAAATCCTGCAGTGCCAGACGTGTCCCCCTGCTTAAGCCAGTACATGTCCAGGCCCGTCTGAAGTTTGCTAGAGTGCATTTGGATGATCCAGAAGTGGATTGGGAGAATGTCATATGGTCAGATGAAACCAAAATATAACTTTTTAGTAAAAACTCAACTCGTCGTGTTTGGAGGACAAAGAATGCTGAGTTGCATCCAAATAACACCATACCTACTGTGAAGCATGGGGGTGGAAACATCATGCTTTGGGGCTGTTTTTCTGCAAAGGGACCAGGACGACTGATCTGTGTAAAGGAAAGAATGAATGGGGCCATGTATCGTGAGATTTTGAGTGAAAACCTCCTTCCATCAGCAAGGGCATTGAAGATGAAACATGGCTGGGTCTTTCAGCATGACAATGATCCCAAACACACCGCCCGGGCAACGAAGGAGTTGCTTCGTAAGAAGCATTTCAAGGTCCTGGAGTGGCCTAGCCAGTCTCCAGATCTCAACCCCATAGAAAATCTTTGGAGAGAGTTGAAAGTCCATGTTGCCCAGCGACAGCCCCAAAACATCACTGCTCTAGAGGAGATCTGCATGGAGGAATGGGCCAAAATACCAGCAACAGTGTGTGAAAACCTTGTGAAGACTTACAGAAAACGTTTGACCTGTGTCATTGCCAACAAAGGGTATATAACAAAGTATTGAGAAACTTTTGTTATTGACCAAATACTTATTTTCCACCATAATTTGCAAATAAATTCATTAAAAATCCTACAATGTGATTTGGATTTTTTTTTCTCATTTTGTCTGTCATAGTTGACGTGTACCTATGATGAAAATTACAGGCCTCTCTCATATTTTTAAGTGGGAGAACTTGCACAATTGGTGGCTGACTAAATACTTTTTTTCCCCACTGTATGTATATATATATATATGTATATATGTATATATATGTATATATGTATATATATATATATGTATATATGTGTATATGTGTGTATGTGTGTATGTGTGTATATATATATATATATGAGGGGAAAAAGTATTTGATCCCCTGCTGATTTTGTACGTTTGCCCACTGACAATGACATGGTCAGTCTATAATTTTAATGGTAGGTTTATTTGAACATTGAGAGACAGAATAACAACAACAAAATCCAGAAAAACGCATGTCAAAAATGTTATAAATTGATTTGCATTTTAATGAGGGAAATAAGTATTTGACCCCCTCTCAATCAGAAAGATTTCTGACTCCCAGGTGTCTTTTATACAGGTAACGAGCTGAGATTAGGAGCACACTCTTAAAGGGAGTGCTCCTAATCTCAGCTTGTTACCTGTATAAAAGACACCTGTCCACAGTAGCAATCAATCAATCAGATTCCAAACTCTCCACCATGGCCAAGACCAAAGATCTCTCCAAGGATGTCAGGGACAAGATTGTAGACCTACACAAGGCTGGAATGGGCTACAAGACCATCGCCAAGCAGCTTGGTGAGAAGGTGACAAGAGTTGGTGCGATTACTCGCAAATGGAAGAAACACAAAATAACTGTCAATCTCCCTCGGCCTGGGGCTCCATGCAAGATCTCACCTTGTGGAGTTGCAATGATCATGAGTACGGTGAGGAATCAGCCCAGAACTACACGGGAGGATCTTGTCAATGATCTCAAGGCAGCTGGGACCATAGTCGCCAAGAAAACAATTGGTAACACACTACGCCGTGAAGGACTGAAATCCTGCAGTGCCCGCAAGGTCCCCCTGCTCAAGAAAGCACATATACAGGCCCGTCTGAAGTTTGCCAATGAACATCTGAATGATTCAGAGGAGAACTGGGTGAAAGTGTTGTGGTCAGATGAGACCAAAATCGAGCTCTTTGCCATCAACTCAACTCGCCGTGTTTGGAGGAGGAGGACTGCTGCCTATGACCCCAAGAACACCATCCCCACCGTCAAACATGGAGGTGGAAACATTATGCTTCGGGGGTATTTTTCTGCTAAGGGGACAGGACAACTTTACAGCATCAAAGGGACGATGGACGGGGCCATGTACCGTCAAATCTTGGGTGAGAACCTCCTTCCCTCAGCCAGGGCATGGCAAAATGGGTTGTGGATGGGTATTCCAGCATGACAATGACCCAAAACACACGGCCAAGGCAACAAAGGAGTGGCTCAAGAAGAAGCACATTAAGGACCTGGAGTGGCCTAGCCAGTCTCCAGACCTTAATCCCGTAGAAAATATGTGGAGGGAGCTGAAGGTTCGAATTGCCAAATGTCAGCCTCGAAACCTTAATGACTTGGAGAAGATCTGCAAAGAGGAGTTGGACAAAATGTGTGCAAACCTGGTGGCCAATTACAAGAAACGTCTGATCTCTGTGATTGCCAACAAGGGTTTTGCCACCAAGTACTAAGTCATGTTTTGCAGAGGAGTCAAATACTTATTTCCCTCATTTAAAATGCAAATCAATTTATAACATTTTTGACATGCATTTTTCTAGATTTTTTTGTTGTTATTCTGTCTCTCGCTGTTCAAATAAACCTACCATTAAAATTATAGACTGATCGTGTCTTTGTCAGTGGGCAAACGTATGAAATCAGCAGGGGATCAAATAATTGTATCCCTCACTGTGTGTGTGTGTATATATGCATATAGTTGAAGTCGGAAGTTTACATACACTTAAGTAGGAGTCATTAAAACTCGTTTTTCAACCACTCCACAAATTTCTTGTTAACAAACTATAGTTTTGGCAAGTCGGTTAGGACATCTACTTTGTGCATTACACAAGTAATTTTTCCAACAATTGTTTAGACAGATTATTTCACTTAATTCACTGTATCACAATTCCAGTGGGTCAGAAGTTTACATACACTAAATTGACTGTGATGATGTCATGGCTTTAGAAGCTTCTGATAGGTTAATTGACATAATTTGAGTCAATTGGAGGTGTACCTGTGGATGTATTTCAAGGCCTACCTTCAAACTCAGTGCCTCTTTGCTTGACATCATAGGAAAATCAAAATAAAGACCTCAGAAATAAAATTGTAGACCTCCACAAGTCTGGTTCATCCTTGGGAGCAATTTCCAAATGCCTGAAGGTACCACGTTCATCTGTACAAACAATAGTATGCAAGTATAAACACCATGGGACCACGCAGCCATCATACCGCTCAGGAAGGAGACTCATTCTGTCTCCTATAGATGAACATACTTTGGTGCGTGGGGGTGCTTTGCTGCAGGAGGGACTGGTGCACTTCACAAAATAGATGGCATCATGAGGAAGGAAAATTATGTGGATATATTGAAGCAACATCTCAAGACATCAGTCAGGAAGTTAAAGCTTGGTCGCAAATGGGTCTTCCAAATGGACATGACCCCAAGCATACTTCCAAAGTTGTGGCAAAATGGCTTAAGGACAACAAAGTCAAGGTATTGGAGTGGCCATCACAAAGCCCTGACCTCAATCCTATAGAACATTTGTGGGCAGAACTGAAAAAGCGTGTGCGAGCAAGGAGGCCTACGAACCTGACTCAGTTACACCAGCTCTGTCAGGAGGAATGGGCCAAAATTCACTCAACTTATTGTGGGAAGCTTGTGGAAGGCTACCCGAAACATTTGACCCAAGTTAAACAATTTAAAGGAAATGCTACCAGATACTAATTTAGTGTATGTACATTTCTAACCCACTGGGAATGTGATGAAAGAAATAAAAGCTGAAATAAATCATTCTCTCTGCTATTTCACATTCTTAAAATAAAGTACAGGGAATTTTTACTAGGATTTAATGTCAGGAGTTTAAATGTATTTGGCTAAGGTGGATGTAAACTTCCGACTTCAACTGTATATGATGTTTCTTCAGATCTGTCACGGGCTGAGGAGGACGGGTCATGTTTCAGCTCTGTGGCTCTCTTCCTCCTGGACTGTCTGATCCGCATCCCCACCAGAACCTGCCGGGCCCTGCTGCATCAGGTCAGTGGTCAAGTGACAGGTTGCGTCTGAAATGGCACCCTATTCCTTATCTAGTGCATTACTTTTGACCAGGGCCCATAGGGAGCCCTACAGTTCATATTCAAAACCAGCCATGAGTGGAAAGAAGTTCGGTAATCAATTTGGACCTGTATAACCTCCCTTTAGGTGTTTCTGGAGCCCTTCTTCCGGGTGCTGGGTGGCCAGGCCAAGTCTAAAGCGGTGCTGCTGTCTACAGCCCGGTCCAACCTGCGCCACCTCAACTGTCTGCACCAGCTGGGCATCGTGCTTGGCATCACAGACTGGGTCAATGACTACCACACCAAGCTCAGCGCACCACAGAACCAGGACCTAAACCATAGTCAGAACCAGGACCAAACACCACCAGCCGACCAGACAAAGGTCAGAACAGGGGAGATTACCATCAGTGATGGGGGTCAATTCAGTTTTTAATTATTTAAGTCCAGGAAGTGAATTTAAAATGATTTCATGAATTGAAAATTGTCCATGGGTTTTTTTTTATCCATAGCTGTTTGGTTTTTATACAGTCTAAAGCTCCACTTTGTTGCTTTGTAAAAAATCTTCCCCTCTCGCTCTTTCTTATCTTATCCTATCCTATCTCCAGCCTGCTCCTGTGGATTCTTTGAACAGAAGTCTCTCTCAGACTCTCAGTGAGGATGAAGAGTTCCCAGAGGACTGCAGCTCTGACTCCTCCCACCCCACCCAGCCACAGCATGCAGGTGAGGAGAGCACTAGAGCATTATGGGTAATGTAGTCAGGAAGGGTGTGAATGTTTAAACAACATTGGGATCGTTAATGTTTAGAAAAATCCCTAACCGAATTTTTTTAAAACAAAATTAAAATCACAGTGCAGTTATCACAAAACTACCACCAACAGGCCCCGATCATCATCATAAAGGGTTTTTGTTATTTACACATACCTAATGCAACAATGCTGTAATGTAAGTAGGAGGAGATATGCATCTTTCAAATGTTTTGGCCGATATAATGCGCTCCGCACGTAATCGTCGTTAACAGTTGGAAAAATGGCAGCGAGTGAGACAGGGAAGTGACTGCAGAGAAAGTCCTGTATGGCAATACTTTGAGAAGTTAAATGAGAAGGTGATGAAATGCAAACTTTGCGAGGGAGAATTGAGCTACAGTGGCGGTCATGGGCAATGCTGAAAGGGATGACCCAACCATTTTGCTAGCAGCAGTGCGATAAGGAACAGAGTTTCGAAAATCACAGCGCTGATTTCAGAAGTGATTGCAGTTGATATGCAGCAATTGTCAATGGTAGAGGATGTGGGCTTCAATACCGTAATGGCATATCTAAAACCAGACTACAGGATGCCTTGTCGAAAAACCGTGACGGCCCTGATGGAGAAATTGTACAATGATTGCTCTGCAAGTGCAAGTACAAAGCACGAGCTCTCGAACACCAGACGTGGCGTTAACAACAGATTGCTGGACATCTATGAACACGCTGTTGAACATCATTGCAACGAGCCATCACATTAATGAGAAGTGGGACATGAAGTACGTACTGACAACTGAGAACATGGAGGAGAGGCACACAACAGAGAACCTAAAACGGTATTAATACCATCGTTGCTGAGTGAGTGGGGGACAGCAGTAAAGTGAGCGCCGTCTGGTAGGGGTTTCCACTAGTTACCACAGCCACAAGGTCAAATATTGGCTATATTGTAAAAACTTCTGAAAACAAAGATTTATATTTTTGGTCTTAATTTAAGGTTAGAGTTAGGTATAAGGTTGGAATTAGGGTTAGGTTTAAAATCATATTTCAAGAAAATACATTGTGGGAAAACCTTTACATTTACAGAATAGGCAGGCTTTATGACTGCATTTCCTAAGAGTCTAAGCCGTGGGGTGGGGAGGGGGGTTCTAGGCTGACATATGGAATTGTTTTAAGATGGCCATAACATGGTTCATTTAGCAATTTTATTTAGATTTTTAGGACCCCTTTAGGTATCCCCCAAAAAGACTTACATTTTTTTTGATACATCTCTATCTTAAACTGACAGATTTTGATGGGGATTTTTTTATTATCTTACTTAGATTGACGCACCTAGGGGGTTATGGTGACGACCAGGACTGCGGTAGATTCAACTGCATTGCCCCCTAGCGGTCATACGCAGAACCGCATCTGAATTGTGAATTAATGTCATTTCATGATTTAAAATTTTTACAAAAAAACATTAAAACAATAAACAAATGGCAGTTTAAAGGAGGGGTTGGAACCAGTTCAGGGAACAAAACCGGAAAATTACTAAATATTTAAAGGAACAGAAATGGAACCTGGAATGAGTGTTCATTGAATGTTCATTTCTCTACCATAAACTGCCTTCAACGTATTTTTTTTTTTAATTTGGCAGTACGTCCAACTGGCCTCAACCGCAGACCACGTGTATGGCATTGTGTAGGCGAGCGGTTTGCTGATGTCAACGTTGTGAACAGAGTGCCCCATGGTGGCAGTGGGACTATGGTATGGGCATGCATAAGCTTGGGACAATGAACACAATTGCATTTTATCTATGGCAATTGAAATGCACAGAGATACCGTGAAGAGATCCCGAGGCCCATTGTCGTGCCATTCATCCGCCGCCATCACCTCCATGTTTCAGCATGATAATGTACGACTCCATGTCGCAAGGATCTGTACACAATTCCTGGAAGCTGAAAATGGCCCAGTTTTTCCATGGTCTGCATACTCACCATACATGTCACCCATTGAGCATGTTTGGGATGCTCTGGATCGATGTGTACGACAGCGTGTTCCAGTTCCCACCAATAACCAACAACTCCGCACAGCCATTGAAGAGGAGTGGGACAACATTCCACAGGCCACAATCAACAGCCTGATCAACTCTATGTGAAGGAGATGTCATGCTGCATGAGGCAAATGGTGGTCACACCTGATACTGACTGGTTTTCTGATCCACACCCCTTTTTTTTTTTTTTTTTTTTTTTTTTTTTAAACCAGATCAGAACTTTATTTTGCTGGGCGGAACAGTGGAACGAAATACAAAAAAAATAGTTGTTCTGTTCAGAACTAAACAATTGAAAACATTATATTTCGGTTCCAGACCCTGGTTTAAACATTAAGATACATGTTAAATTTGTCACATCCCTAGTAGTCAAGTACAGTCAGAGATTTCTAACAGATCTTCGTCCTACAGGTGGCTGGGATGAAGACGGTGATGAAGATGAGTTGTATGAGCTGATCTTGGAGACACACGGAGACACACACACCGAGAGAGACGGAGAGGAAGACTGGGAGGAAGGGCAGTCATTGGCTGAGCCTGTGAAAGCGGACAATGCTGATAGCCAATCAGAGAGCAGAGTGGATTGCCACCGGGCCATAATTGATGACATCAGGTTTGTCTTAAACCGCCTTTATACTGCCTAATGTATAAAATGATACAATACATGAATAGAAACACTAACCTGGTCTCACAATGCTGTCTGTTACAGGAAGAGTGAGTTTGGTATAGGAGTAGAGATGAATGAGGAGGGTCAGAGGTTGATGACTGTTCACCAGGAGAGGCTGGGGCGCAGTCTGGACCGACTGTCCACTGAACTCTACAGTAAAGACACACACTTTGTACTGGAACTCATACAGGTGACTGACTCTCTCCTCTGTCTCCCTCTCTCGCTTTCGTGTCTCTCTCCCGCTCTCTCCTTCTCTCCTCTGTCTTGCTTTATCCCTTTATATCTCTCGCTCTATCTCTCTGCCTGAGCTCATCCAGGTGTTTTGAGATCTACTCTATGCAATGCACTTACATAGAATGTGCTTTATTTATTGTGCTATTCACAGAATGCTGATGATAACAGTTACCCGACTGAGGAGGGCCCTGTCCCTGCACTGGCCTTTGTTGTGGAGAAAGACTGTGTGACTGTCCTCAACAATGAGACGGGCTTCCAGGAGAAAAACATCCGGGCCATCTGTGACGTGGGCCGCAGCACCAAGGGCAAACACAAATACGGATACATAGGTAACAGCTAAAAGAGTTTGAAACCCTATAGGTAACCTATCGAAGACTAGATCTTAGGTGCACCAAAGTATTTTCTCAACTGTTTCTCCATGTCTTTCTCCTTCCTTAGGTCAGAAGGGTATAGGTTTTAAATCTGTGTTCAAGGTGACTGACTGTCCTGAGATCCACTCCAACGGGTTCCATCTGTGCTTCGACAAGACCAGTGGCCCCCATTGGGATCATCGCTGCCACAAACTTGGGTCGACTACGGAAGACCCTCCCAACGACCACACCTGGCCGACCAAACACATACCAGGTTAGTGGTGGCAAAAAATCACAACAACACAACCTGGCCGACCACAACACACTGGCGACCACACACATACCAGGTATGTGCATCACACCACATCTGGCTGACCCACACATACCAGGTTAGTGGTGATCAACACAACTGTGCCACACATACCAGGTTAGTGGTGGCATCACCACACACCTGGCTGACGACAACATACCAGTAGTGGTGGCATCACACACACATCTGGCTGACCACACACATACCAGGTTAGTGGTGGCATCACACACACACCTGGCCGACCACACACATACCAGGTTAGTGGTGGCATCACACACACATCTGGCTGACACACACATACCAGGTTAGTGGTGGCATCACACACACATCTGGCTGACGACACACATACCAGGTTAGTGGTGGCATCACACACATACAACAAACTGACTACACACACACACACACACACCTGGCCGACAACAAACACGCACCAGGTGAGTCTAATGACATAATCTAAAACTAGGTAAAACACACACACACCTGAGTGACAACACATACCCACACCAGGTGTGTCTAGTAGTAACAACTCAATTGTATTTGTCACATGCACTTAATACAACAGATGTAGACATTACTGTGAAATTCTTACTTACGAGCTCTTTCCCAACAATGCAGAGTCAAAAAGTTAGGAAAAAAAAGGAAATAGTAACATAATAAAATAACAGTAACGAGGCTGTATACAAGGAGCACCGGCACCGAGTCAATGTGCTGGGGTACGAGGTAGTTAAGGTAATTGAGGTAATATGTACATGTAGGTAGGGGTAAAAGTGACTAGGCAATCAGGATAGGTAATAAACTAGTAGCAGAGTATGTAAAGAGTGTGAAAGCGTGTGTGTGGCGTCAACATGCATGTGTGCTCCGTGTATGTGGTGTGTGTGTGTGTGTAGGAGTGTCAGTGCCGTATGTGTGGGTGGGTAGAGTCCAGCGAGTGTGCATACAGCCAGTGCAAGAATGTCAATGCACATGCGGCTATTCTGTGTTGAGCGGTTAACAAAGAAACAGGCCCTGCTATATGCTTAATTTAGTTATTTATGCAACTTTAGTTGTGATACAAACGTTAGGCTACATGTTTAGATTTTTAATACATTCTAAAGCTGCATGATGCAACTCTAATGATTTGATAAAAGTCGCATGAAAGGCATGAGTTCTGCTCTGTTTCTTGCACAGGCTGCATTCACAATTTGACAAGCACTTGATAATATTCTCACTCATCAGACTATTCTTAATTTAATCTGGTCTTTACATATAGCCTACTAATATATGTGTGGGATTCATTTTTATTTAGAATGGCCCACAAAAAGTCATCCGTAGCCTGCACTCGAATAGCACCAGCTGTAAAGCGGATGCATGTGTTTAATTTTAAGAATTGAGCAATAAATATAGCAGCACAATGCGCAATGACTGGGCTAATAAGAACACATTTCCCTAGGCTCTGTAGGCTATATGCTCTCCAACCGTGTTCTAGGAATACTAGGCCTATAGGCTATTTTTTGGAGTTATTTGGCCGCTTTAGTTGTGATACAAACCTTATCAAAACATATAGGACTTTGGGGTAGGCAACATGATGCATGTGACTATGATTAGAAAAAGTAGGGGGAAAAGGCATGCGTTGTTTCTTGCCTTAGACTGCACGCGTTGGGCATCATTCACAAGTGATAATATTCTCACCCATTAGACTATTCTCAATTTAGTCTTTACAAATACTAAATAATATACAGTGCCTTCAAAAAGTATTCACACCCCATCACTTTTTCCTAATTTTGTTGTTACAGCCTGAATTAAAAATTGATTCAATTGAGATTTTTTTGTCACTTGCCTACACACAATACCCCATAATGTCAAAGTGGAATTAGGTTTTTCAACATTTTTACAAATTAATCAAATGAAAAGTTGAAATTTATTGAGCCAATAAATATTCAACCCCTTTGTTATGGCAAGCCTAAATACGTTCAGGAGTAAAGATTTGCTTCACAAGTCACATTAGTTGCATGGACTCACTCTGTGTGCAATAATAGTGTTTAACATCTGTACGGTCCCTCAGTTGAGCAGTGAATTTCAAACACAGATTCAACCACAAAGACCAGGGAGGTTTTCCAATGCCTCGCAAACAAAGGCACCTATTGGTAGATGGGTAAGAAACAAAACAAAAAAAACAGACATTCAATATCCCTTTGAGCATGGTGAAGTTATTAATTACACTTTGGATGGTGTATCAATACACCCAGTCACTACAAAGATACAGGCATCCTTCCTAACTCAGTTGCCAGAGAGGAAGGAAACCTCTCAGGGATTTCACCATGAGGCCAATGGTGACTTTAAAACAGTTACAGAAAATTGAGGATGGATCAACCACATTTTAGTTACTCCACAATACTAACCTAATTGACAGAGTGAAAATAAGGAATATTCCAAAACATACATCCTGTTTGCAACAAGGCACTAAAGTAATAGAGCAAAAAATGTGGCAAAGCAATTCACTTTTTGTCCTGAATACAAAGTTTTATGTTTGGGACAAATCCAATGTAACACACTACTGAGTACCACTCTCCATATTTCAAGCATAGTGGTGGCAGCATCATGTAATGGGAATGCTTGTAAACGTTAAGGACTGGGGAGTTTTTCAGGATAAGAAAATAAACGGAATGGAGCTAAGCACAGGCAAAATCCTAGAGGAAAACCTGGTTCAGTCTGCTTTCCACCAGATAGTGGGAGATTAATTCACCTTTCAGCAGGACCAATAACCTAAAACACAAGGCCAAATCTACACTAGAGTTGCTTACCAAAAAGTCAGTGTTCCTGAGTAGCCGAGTTACAGTTATGACTGAAATCTACTTGAAAATCTATGGCAAGACCTGAAAATGGTTGTCTAGCAATGGTCAACAGCCAATTTAACAGCTTCAAGAATTTTTAAAAGAATAATGGGCAACTGTTGCACAATCCTGGTGTGAAAAGCTCTTAGAGACTTACCCAGAATGACTCACAGCTGTAATCACTGCCTAAGGTGCTTCTACAAAGTATTTACTTAGTGGTGTGAATACTTATGTAAATTAGATATTTCTGTATTTCATTTTCAATAAAATTGCAAAAATGTAAAAAATTAAAACTTTAAAAAACTAACTGTTATTATGGGGTATTGTGTGTAATAATAATAATAATAATAATATGCCATTTAGCAGACGCTTTTATCCAAAGCGACTTACAGTCATGCGTGCATACATTTTTTTTTTGTGTATGGGTGGTCCCGGGGATCGAACCCACTACCTTGGCGTTACAAGCGCCGTGCTCTACCAGCTGAGCTACAGAGAACAGATGGGTGAGGATTATTTATTTAATCCATTTTGAATTCAGGCTGTAACACAACAAAAATGTGGAATAAGTCAAGGGGTATGAAAACTTTCTGAAGGCACCTTATGTGTGAAATTAGTTTTGATTTAGAATGGGCCTTTATCATGCACCTGTCGGAACAGGGGCAGTGGAAAAAAATACATGTCATCCGTATAGACTTAAATAGCGAATGGAGGACGCTTTTCCCATGGTTCATTTTCATGCCAGCCAGGTAGGCTACTCCGGTTGTAAAGCGAAGCAATGTGCTTAATGTTAGTAAAGTTGAGAAATAAATATAGTAGACCTAGCCCAGGGCTATCCAACCCTGTTCCTGGAGCGCTACCATCCTGTGGGTTTTCATTCCAACCCTAATCTAGCGCACCAGATTCTAATAATTAGCTGGTTGATAAGATGATTCATGTTAGTTACAGCTGGGATTGGAGCGAAAGCCTACAAGAGGGTAGCGCTCCAGGAACAGGGTTGGAGAGCCTTGGCCTAGCCTATAGAAAACTGATGGGATCCTCCTCTTTTTAAGAGGCCATCAAAACTCTGTTTTCTCAAGCAGTTGCATAGCCTATAAAAATTTTGCTCAACATATGCTTATGGGTTCTCATGAAGTGTTTGATTTTATTTTTGATTGCATTTGCATTGATGTCAGAGTTATTAGAGGGACAATAGAGTGCTGAGTACCAGGCCAATAGCGAGGTGTTGGCAGGTAGCAAATTTGGTAGGCTACCAATGACCATCAGCGGCATCGCAGTTTTTGAGAAGCCTAGTTACTGTGACTCAACAGTCCCGTGGAATTTGACTGCGGTCATTACTGGGGACTGCCGGTGTGGCGGTAATACGGTCACCGTAAAAGCCATACTCTCACGCATGGTTCAGTGTTTGCTTCGAAAACGAGCATAGAAGGTATTTAGCTTATCTGATAGGCTTGAATCACTGGACAGCTCGCGGACGGATTTCCCTTTGTAATCCGTGTTAGTTTGTAAGCCCTGCCACATCCAACGAGCGTCAGAGCCGGTGTAGTAGGTTTCAATCTTGGTCCTGTATTAACGCTTTGCCTGTTTGATGGTTTGTCAGAGGGCGTAGCAGGATTTCTTATAATCGTCCAGATTAGTGTCCCGCTCCTTGAAAGAGGCAGCTCTAGCCTTTAGCTCAGTGCGTATTTTGCCTTTAACCCATGGCTTCTGGTTGGGATATGTACGTACGGTCACTGTTGAGACGACGTCGTCGATGCACCGATTTGATAAAGCCAGTGGCTGAGGTGGTAAACTGCTCAGTGCCATCGGATGAATCCAGGAACATATTACAGTCAGTGCTAGCAAAACAGTCCTGTAGCTTAGCGTCCGTTTCATCGGACCACTTCCGTATTGAGCGCGTCACTGTTACTTCCTGTTTGAGTTTTTGTCTGTATGCAGGAATCAGGAGGCTAGAGGTATGGTCAGATTTGACAAATGGAGGGCGAGGGAGAGCTTTGTATTTTTATTTTTATTTATTTCACCTTTATTTAACCAGTATGCGTTTCTGTGTGTGGAGTAGAGGTGATCTAGAGTTTTTTTCGCCTCTAGTTGCACCTATGACATGCTGGTAGAAATTTAGATAAAATGGATTTCAGTTTTCGTGCATTAAAATTACCGGCCACTAGGCGCGCCGACTCTGGGTGAGAATTTTCTTGTTTGCTTATGGGCCTATACAGCTCGTTGAGTGAGGTCTTAGTGCTAGCATCTGTTTGTGGTGGTAAATAGACGGCTATGAAATATATAGATTAACTCTCTAACTCAGGCGAGCAGAACAGTCTATACTCAGTAATTTACTATGTAGGGGCAGTCACATCAATGTTGAATGTTTGTGTTCTGTCAGCTGGACCACTAAGATCTGTCTGCCGCTGCGCTCTGAGTGCTACCAGACCAAAAACCTGTTCCACGATGTCCACCCCTCTCTGCTGCTCTTCCTACACCGCCTACGATCTATCACCATCTACAACCAGGTAACACACACACACAAAGGTCATGGCTCCGCCACACCTTTCAATAGGCTTAGAGGAGATTCCACCATATTGCCTTCGGTGTACAAACACCGAGCTGTAGAGGCAAGTAGTTGGTTTCAGACTGGACTGTTGTGTGCTGACATCTGACTTGTCTCTCTCTGTGTGTTTCCCTGGCCAGGCTGAGAAGCGCATGGTGACCATGACGCGTAGAGACCTGAGTCACAATGTCCTGGAGGTGGAACACACTGAGGGAACAGAACGCTGGCTGGTGGTCAAACACACACTGCACCCCACCAAGGTACCACACACACACACTGATCCTCTCATCTCCTCGTCAGAGAGCCAGCTGCTTGTTACCTGCATTGAGGTTATGCAACAGTAGAGACAGATCAGAGAATGAACAGACTCAGAAATGTTACATGATTTATCGAAAACAGTCAGGTAAATTTTTATGGGGTTCCCATTGTGACAGTGCACATTGAAATGCTAAATGTTCAAACTCAATATTTTTCAGGTATTCTCTCTGTTGGAGTTATCCTCTGATCAGTGGCAAAACAGAGCAGTTGTCTTAGTGACTGCCTGGAGATTGGCCCTGTTTGAATACTTTTCAAATGCATCCTGCTTTCCTTTCTTCTTTCCTCCCTTCCTTGAGGGCTTACTAATCTAACTTCAGGGGAAGGGTAAAAGCAAGGGCTCCACATAGCTTTCACAGATCAATTGAAGACAGATCAGTGATTACTTCGAAGAAGGGAGGTGAAAAGGAAGTATTAGAATGTGCCAAATGTAATGATGATCATGGTGTTACGTTGACATGTTTCCCCGTCAGATCAAAGATGAAGTGGAGTCCACGGAGCTCGCCCTGGCCTTCCAGCTGGGTGATGACCTCACAGGAAGTGACATCAGAGCCCAGCCACAGAAGCAGCCAGTCTTCGCCTTCCTGCCTCTCCGAAGCTTTGGCTTCCGCTTCATCATCCAAGGTTACACACACACACACACACACACACTGGTGCTCTCCTCAAGGTTCACCCAAATTGCCCATTTTAAAATGCACTCTTGCAGTGATACCACACAAGCTCACAGACCAAGCCTTTCAAATTTTATTTTTTCTCTTTCACTCCAGGTGACTTTGAAATCCCTTCTTCTCGTGAGGACGTGGACAGAGATAGTTCATGGAACCAGTGGCTCCGATCTGAGATCCCCCAACTGTTCTTACATGCCATGGGCGTCTTCACTGTAAGAGGAAGGAGGGAGGGAGAGGTTGATCAGAATCATTTACTCCTGCTCTGCACATTGGTAAATGTGGTCCTAAGTTGTGTTTCTGACCCCTGTCTCCTCTTCTCACCTCTCCTCTCCAGGATCACCCAGAGTTCAGTGGGCTGAAGGGCCTATGTAATTTCCTGCAGTTTGTCCCTCTGCCTGACGAGGTACTGGATTTCTTCAAGCCTGTAGCCGGGCAGATTATACAGCTGCTAAAGGGAAAGGCCTTCCTACCCACACTCAACACAGGTACCCTACCACTGTACCCCTCTTTCTCTCTCTCACACTCAACACAGGTACCATTCTACCCCTCTTTCTCTCTCCTTCTCCATCACTTCTATCTCCATCCGTAAGTCAGCTTTATATTTAGTTTATTTTCTTAACTCTTATTTTTCTTAACTGCATTGTTGGTTAAGCGCTTGTAAGTAAGCATTTCACGGTAAGGTCTACACCTGTTGTATTCGGCACATGTGACAAATACAATTTGATTTGAGTAAATCTGCAGATTTCATCTTCATGCTCAAGTAACCCTCATACGTGCCTGTATCATGTATTTTTACTATGTTTTGTAACTTTTCCCAGATCGTTGCTGTAAATGAGAATGTATTATCAGTCAACTCACCTGGTAAAATAAGAAAACATCAAATCAACTGACTCCTGTCTCTCCAGATGGTTCTGTGGTCTACAAGCTACCCTCCCAGGTCGCTGTGTGTCAGGACCTGGTCATTCGCGACGTGATTGGTGGAGAGGAGCTTAACAGACACCTGTCTCTGGCCTATCTGCATCCGGGCCTGCTGCCGGCCCCGCCCCTATCCCTGCTCACACACCTGGGAGTACGACACCTGAGGGGGGGTGACGTCACCACAGTAACAACCGCCATGGCCAAGGACCTGTTGCAGGAAGATGGTCTCAACTCAGGTGAGGGGAGGGTGGTGTGTGTGCGCGCGCACGTGTTGTTTATATTTCTTTGTGAGGGTTGTAAACTCTCTCTCTCTCCGTCTTTGTGTATCAGACTCAGGCCTGCGTCGTCTGGCCAGGTTGTTGGTGTGTAACTTCCGTGCGTTGGAGCAGGGCTACGGAGAGACAGATTCTATCCTGACCACCCTCAGAGATCTACCCATAATCCCACTGGCTGATGGGCGCATGGTGGCACTCAGCAGAGAGGGAGTCTTCTTCCCCGTGACTGAGACCAAGAATCATAGCAACACAGGTAACATAGTGTCACAACATTTTTGAAAAATAAGCTTTTTTTTGCGTATGAAACATTTCTGGGATCTTTTCTTTCACCTAATTAAACATGGGACCAACACTTTACATGTTGCATTTTATATTTTTGACCATAGACAATAATTTTTTATATTTTTTCAGCGACTACCCATAAACAGTTGGTGGTATATTCAGGGTTGTAACTGTTAGAGATATTTGTGGTAGAAGGTTTGAAAATAGAAGCTAAAACAGATTGTTCCATCAAAGACTACTCACATCCCTGTAAGGCCACGAGAGCTTGACGTCAAGAGTAGTGTTTTCTCATACCCACATGTCCTTACACACACAGAGAGAGGCGCGGCGCAGAGGTGGTATTACAACAGCACTGGTGTGCGTCATCACATTGACAAAAATAACCCAAAAGCAGCTTTAGAATAGGGCTGGGACGATACCAGTATCGCGATACTCGTTAGTATCGTGGCAAGGAAACAAAACTTGAAACGGATTTAACTTCTTTAGGAAAACAGCCCTAATGTTGGAAACAAACATCATTATGTTGTCATCCAGAGTCACATTTATTTATTTTTCAAGCTATAGCACACAATATTTGACATACAGCAGGTTTTTAAAGGACCAAAGAGTTGTCTGCTTCGTGTTTTTCATTTTTGCCAAGGAAAAAGTTTGCGATACTGGTATCATCCCGGGCCTACTTTAGAGCGTGTTTATAAATAATACATTTACATGCTGTGATGTAAGTCTCATTCCTCTAAACTTGTTTGGTGCCTCTACTCGGTAAGAGTGCTACTCCTTCTTAAGTATGCCATTTCTTCTGCATCACCTATTTTAACCTCCTATGTTTGATATCGTTCCACTCTCTCCCTCCCCTCCTCTAGGTGTGTATGGAGCACTGTACAGGGATGTGTGTGTGGTCCACCCGTCTCTGCTGTCCTGTGTGGAACCACTGGAGAGCCAGCAGATCAGAGAGCTGCTCAGGAGGCTGGGAGTCCATGAGCTAGAACCACAGCAACTGCTACAGCAGCACATATACCCTGCACTGAAGAACAACACATGGAAGGTAACACAGACACAGACATCCATTGTTATATATACATTTATAATTGATTTCTACATTTGTTCTTAAATGCACAAAGAGCATCTTCTCCGTATCCCTTCCTCTATATCTCTCTATTGCTCCCTCCCCCTCATGCCATCTCTCTCTCTCTCCAGTCCAAGCCGGTGGAGGTAGTGGTGAGCTACCTAGTGTTCATCAAACAGCACTCCCCCCCTCAGGAGTACGCTCACCCAGACACTGTAGTACCGGTACTGACCACAAGGGGACTGCTTTACCCTGCTGACCACAAAGTACACTTCTCTACACAGTACGGCAATATGGACCTGCCCAACAAACTACCAGGTACACACACACTGTAATTATTAGGTAACGACTATATAGAATTCTTAAAACGTTACCATTTATGAGTAAATACCAGTCAGCTAGCAGTTAAGGAAAGTGTTTGTAGAGACAATGATTTAATGAGACTTGAAGTGTTGAACTGGCCCAAATACTGCATGACTAACTACAATGGGATATTGTTCCCCGAAGTAAGCCTTGCCCTTTGTGACTGTCCCCAAAACAAACATCGCTTGGTCCACGTCGTCTGGTGAAATGATGGACAGTGCACTGGAGTGTGTGTCTCGGTGTGTGTGTGTGTGTTTAGTAACCCCCTTTGTGAGAGAGTTTGTGCGTGTGTGTATAGCAGCCTCAATTGTGAGGGGGAAAGAAGGCATGAAATGCCGTGAAGAGGGGAGCTGTGTGTGTGTGTGTGTGTCATTAGTTATGTAACAGAGTGGACGTGGTGTGGAAAATGGATGTGCACGCTTGACCTGCCTCTAAAGGAAAGAGAAGAGAGACTAACCACTCCTCTCTCATCCCTCTTTCCTCTGTTCTTCCTGTTACTAACCACTAACCTCTTTCTCTGTAGTCTTCCCCTTTTTTCTGCTCCCTCGCTTGGCTGAATTTACAATAATATTAGTCCATAAGCTAAAGCTACACATCACTCATTATCTCTCGCTCTCTCTCTCCCCCTTTCTCCAGGTGTGGACTGGGTGTTGCTGAGTGGTTGTTATGTGGAGACGGATGGAGACGTGGAGGGATGGAGAGCTCTGTTCATCAGGCTGGGAGTCAGAGATGGACTCATACTGAGGAAAGAGAGACGAACTCTAACTGCTAAAGAACTGGTGAGGGGGGAGGGAGGAATGGAGAGATTCACACTCACTGCTAAATAACTGGTGAGGAGGGAGGACTGGAGAGTGGGATAATAAATAGAGATATGGCAGGAGGAGTGTAGAATAGACATATGTTTGACCCATATAAACAAGAGGATGTAGAAGTTTAAAGGTTTTTGATCTGTTTTATCAGACACAATATTGACTGGTTGCCTGGTGACTATGAGCCAGTTAGAATCCACCATAAACTCTGTGGTATTTACTAGTGCATCAGAGTTCCGGTTTCAAATAAAATGTATTTGTCACATGCTTCATAAACAAAAGGTGTAGACTAACAATTAAATGCTTACTTATGGGCACTTCCCAACAATGGGGAGGGAGAGAATAATATGAGGAATAAATACACAATGATTAACAATAACTTTGCTATATACACGGGGTACCAATACCGAGTCAATATTTTATTTTTATTTAACCTTTATTTAACCAGGTAAGCCAGTTGAGAACAAGTTCTCATGTACAACTGCGACCTGGCCAAGATAAAGCGAAGCAGTGCGATTTTAAAAACAACAACACAGAGTTACATATGGGATAAACACAACGTACAGTCAATAACACAATAGAAATCTATATACAGTGTGTGCAAATGTAGTAAGTTATGGCGGTAAGGCAATAAATAGGCCATAGTGCAAAATAATTACAATTTAGTATTAACACTGGAATGATAGATGTGCAGAAGATGATGTGCAAATAGAGATACTGGTGTGCAAATGAGCAAAATAAAGAACAATAATATGAGGTAGTTGGGTGGACCAATTACATATGGGCTGTGTACAGTAGCAGTGATCGGTAAGCTGCTCTGACAACTGATGCTTAAAGTTAGTGAGGGAGATAAGTGTCTCCAGCATCAGAGACTTTTGCAGTTCGTTGTGCAGGGTTACAAGGTAATTAAGGTAGATGTGTACATATAGGTAGGGATACAGTGACTAGGCAACAGGACAGATCATAAACATTAAACTGTTTATTATCTATCCACTGGGTAACCAACTCCTCTCCTCTGCTGTCTACACACACACACAAACCTCTGCACACACCCAAAGTATGAGAAACACATTCACAAATGCACACAGTGACTGGCTAGGGGCTAAGGCTAGAATAGTCTATGGATGATAAACAGATTCCACACGTAGTGCTCTGGCCAAAAGTATTATATGGATAGGATGCCATCATGATCAGCAGCAATGACTAAGGCTAAAGTAATATATGAATGTCTTAGAGCAGGGATGGGAAACTCCAGTCCTCAGGGGGCTGAATGGTGTCACACTTTTGCCCCAGCCCATCCCTGCCTTAGAGATTAACATAACATAGGACTGTTTCCCAGGCATGACTAATCTTCCCATGCTTAATGGGTGGACATACCTCAGAGGTGACTGATTTATAAACAACTCTTTAAGACCGGGGTATATCACATAGGCGATGGATTAATAAGGTCTGTTTTAGACGATGGTGAGGAAAGGGATTGTCAATGGTATTCATGACTGAGTTATTTGAAGGCTTCATCACTCTTATGTGATGTTGTCTGAAATCAATTTAATTATTAAGTACAACCCAGCCTCCCAAACACAACTACCTACCAAGATGGCACAGCGGAGATTGGAGTATCTGTCCATAGGACCACTTTAAGCTGTACACTCCACAGAGCTGGGCTTTACGGAAGAGTGGCCAGAAAAAAGCCATTGCTTGAAGAAAAATAAGCAAACATGTTTGGTGTTCGCCAAAAGCCATGTGGGAGACTCCCCAAACATATGGAAGAAGGTACTCTGGTCAGATGAGACACAAATTGTAGCGTTTTGGCCATCAAGGAAAACGCTATGTTTGGCGCAAATCCAACACCTCTCATCACCCCGAGAACACCATCCCCACAGTGAAGCATGGTGGTGGCAGCATCATGCATTGGGGATGTTTTTCATCGGCAGGGACTGGGAAACTGGTCAGAATTGAAGGATTGATTGGTGGCGCTAAATACAGGGAAATTCTTGAGAGAAACCTGTTTCAGTCTTCCAGAGATTTGAGACTGGGACGGAGGTTCACCTTCCAGCAGGACAATGAGCCTAAGCATACTGCCAAAGCAACACTTGAGTGGTTTAAGGGGAAACATTTAAATGTCTTGGATTGGCCTAGTCAAAGCCCAGACCTCAATCCAATTGAGAATCTGTGGTATGACTTGAAGATTGCTGTACACCAGCGGAACCTATCCAACTTGAAGGAACTGGAGCAGTTTTGCCTTGAAGAATGGGCAAAAATCCCAGTGGCTAGATGTGCCAAGCTTATAGAGACATACCCCAAGAGACTTGCAGCTGTAATTGCTGCAAAGGGTGGCTCTACAAAGTATTGACTTTGGGGGGGGGTGAATAGTTACGCACGCTCAAGTTAGTTTTTTTGTCTTATTTGTTGTTTGTTTCACAATAAAAAATATTTAGCATCTTCAAAGTGGTAGGCATGTTGTGTAAATCAAATTATACAAACCCCCCAAAAATCAATTTTAATTCCAGGTTGTAAGGCAACAAAATAGGAAAAATGCCAAGGGTGGTGAATACTTTTGCAAGCCACTGTATTTCTTACAGTATTCTTAATTGTTTCTCTCTCTCTCTTCGCCATTCCCCCTCTCTCTCGAACCCCCCCCCCCCCCCTTCCCTCCATCCTCCCCTTTCTCCCAGGCCTCCAGTCCGTGGGCGGTGGAGAGTGAGCTGTGGCCGTGTCGAGCAGGCAGGGCCGGAGGACCAGAGGAGGGGTGTGTGCTGGATGACTACCCCAGCGAGGAGCTCCTCTCTCTGGTCACAGCGCAGCTGCCTGCCCCTGTCCTCATGGAGCAGAGACAAGCCCTGCTGGGGCTACTGGGGACCAACTGGGACACTGGGTAACCAACTCCTCTCCTCCGCTGTCTACACACACACACACACACACAGAGAGAGACCCAAAGTATGACAAACACACGCACACACTCTTATACAACATGATAACTCACTGGATTACTGAGCCCTCTCTTGAGGAGCTGGGTTTACAGGCCGCCACACTCCCAGATTATAATCCCTGCAGTCTGCCACCGAGACGCCCTAATCCAGCCCAATCCCTGCTGTATGTGGGGGAGTTAGGTTTTGAAAGATATATCTGGTCTTGTTCGCAATCTGAAGATTACTCACTTGTATCCTCACTCCTTTGCCTGCATATTTGTGTTTGAGTGTCTGTGTGTACTTCCTTATAATAATTTGAAATCCAGGTTAGCAGGGTAGGAAGTGGAAGTGCTCTATTTAATGAAGAGAATTGCAGTCACATTGAAAGGACTAAATTCTCATGGTTGTCATGGTTTAATACTCTAATATAACAATGTAGGCCATTGGCCTGGAGTTGATGCTACTTTAGCTGGTAGTGATGGTCTTCTCATACCATCCATGTCTACTGAGTCATATAGGGATGTGATACTGAGCATTATCACATTGCACTCATCTCTTTCAAACGTTTGTTAATTCAAATTATCCAGTTTTTGTCTAAACAACTACTGGACTCATTCATTCTGATTATGGCATACTCATTTAGTTCTTTCTCTCTCGCTTTCTCCATCTCTATCTCTCACTCTTTCGCTCTTTCGCTCTTTCTTTCTTTCTTTCTTTCTGTCTCTCTCTCTACGTCCTTCTACTTCTATCAGTGACCGGTACTCTCAGTATCTCAAAGCCCAGGTGATTGACAGCGAGGGCCGACCAATCAAGACCACGAAGTCCTCCTTTTTCCACTTCCTGTCCTGCCTTCCCTGGGTGCCGGCCTATCGTCTGCAGGCAGGGACAGGTGCAGGGGAAGGGAGAAAGGTGGAGTATCTGTGTCCTAACTCAGTCTACCTGTTCTCACCTGAGGTGCACAGTCTACTGGGGACTCATGTCAGCTATATGGACATGACCCCCAGCGAGTTCACCAGGACTCTAGGTAAGAAAGTGTGTGAGTGTAAGGACTACAACAACAAAAACTACAAATCAAAGAGGTGTCCTTAATCCGGCTCCTCTTTTTTTCCTGTAGGAATGAAGAACAGCGTCAATGTGGAGGAGCTGATTGGCTACCTGAAGAAGTGGTGTGTAAAAACATGCTCAGCCATTGGTCCAGAGGGGCAGGAGAAGCAGGAAGAGGAGGAGTCAGAAGGGTCAGAGTTTAGCTCGACGGTGCAGCACGTCCACAGAGTGTACTCCTTCCTGCACAAGAACTGTTCTCAGACCAGCCTCAAAGAGCTGTTCCAACACACACCGGCCGTCTTCATAGAGTACAACAGGTAGGTCCCCAACCCGTGACCTCTCACCTCTAACCCCTCCCATGTAACATACCGGCCATGTTCAGCGAATACAACAGGTATACCACAGCCCTGACCTCTAACCCATGTCTGTGTTGGCCGTGTCCCTTCAGGAACGGAGACTGGTGTTCCGGTAGGTTCTACCACCTGAAGGAGGTGTGTTGGAGCGACCCCACCGAGATGTTTGTCCGCTACCGGGAGCTGACCCGCGGGGCTGACAGTACGATACAGGAACCCAGAGTCCTGGCCCCCTTCTACAGCCAACTGGAAGATATGAGGGACCTCTTCAAACGGGTATGGAACTACTCTAACTCCTGGTTCAACCCAGGGATTATTGTTATGTCAAACCTTTTGATATATATGGCGCTTCAACCAAAGGCATTTTTCATTTTCAGATTACAGATTTTGTATCATTTTATAAGTACACTGTCCAGAGTTCTCAACTGACATTGAAGTATATTTATAGACTGTATGTAACATCAAGACTCTGGCTGATTCATATCGACTATACAACTAGAAATACGCTGAGTATACAAAACATTAAGAACACCTGCTCTTTCAATGACAGACTGACCAGGGGAATGCACTTCAGGATTTTTAAGCATTGAAACAATTGAGACATGGATTGTGAATGTGTGCCATCCAGAGGGTGAATGGGCAAGACAAAATATTTAAGTGCCTTTGAACGGGGTATGGTAGGTGGTGCCAGGTGCACCAGTTTGTGTCAAGAACTGCACTGCTACTGGGTTTTTCACGCTCAACAGTTTCCTGTGTGTATCAACAATGGTCCACCACCCAAAGGACTTCCAGCAGGAGTCAACATGGGCCAACATCCCTGTGGAACGCTTTCGACACCTTGTAGAGTCCATGCCCGACAAATTGAGGCTGTTCTGAGGGCAAAAAGCAGGGGGGGTCAACTCAATATTAGGAGTTCCTAATGTTTGGTATACTCAGTGTATACCACATCACCAACATTTTCCAAAACTGAGATATATTGTTAGTTGGTTGGAGGGTTTAGATGACACCCATTTTGATGTTGTTCATTCTCCTTTGAGTATATAAATAATTTTTAAACAACACTGTTGTTCGCTCTTGTTGTTTTTGACTGTAGTTAAACGTGGAGCACACCCCATCCATGCTGCAGTATGTGGGTCTACTGGAGCTGGTGTGTAACTCCTGTCCTCTACCTACTGTAGATGTACTCAGAGATGTGTCTAAACTCTACGCCAGGCTGGGTGAGTCTCTCTCACTCACTCACTCACTCACTCACTCACTCACTCACTCACTCACTCACTCACTCACTCACTCACTCACTCACTCACTCACTCACTCACTCACTCACTCACACACACACACACACACATATGGTCCTTTCATGGAATTTATATAATGCCCTTCTACCTGAACCCAGTCTGAATAACTGTCTGTTATTACCCGTCTGAATAACTCTGTGTCTGTCTCTTCAGCTGACAAGTGTAGAACCCCTGTACTAGGAGACCAGGACCACAACGTAAACGTCAACCCCAGCTACTGTTCTACACTGAAGGGTGAGGAACAACACACATGTCAGTTTCTTATTGGACTGGTTTTAGTAACATGTACATTCCTATTGTCCTCTCTGATATTCAGGGATGTTGCTGGATAAGAGGGTGTTCCCAACTAAGGACAACAGCTGGGTGACTCTAGCCCACAGACCCATGATACCAGACAGCAAAGAGCTGGAGAAGATCTTTAAGGCCCACAAACAGGTGTGTCTGCTCAACCTGCCCCTATCAGAGAAAAAGCCAGCACCCAGGACCAAGACTGGACCATCCCAAGGTACTGGACATAACACTGCAAAAGTCAACAATGTGACTAACAGGAAAAGTACAAGCTGTGGGTCTGTATATCTGACACTCTCTCTCCTTTTCTCGCTCTCCCTCTCTCTCCCCAGGTCGGTCTGTCAGTGCGGGGTGTTTCAGTGAGGAGGATAGGATTCTGTTCCTGGAGATCTGTGGCGTACGCTTCCTGTCCCATTGTGTCAGTACTGAGGCACAGACGGAGAACTACAGACCCTGCCCCTCCATGCAGAGCCTGGTGCGGTCTGTGGTTCCCTACATCCAGAGGTTCATCTACCACCACGAGGACCTGCAAGAACTCTACGGGGAACTACAGGGAAACAATATCAGACAGACCATCAGACAGCTCACCTTCGGACAGGTACAGTACAACCTCACCTTAGAACTTCATCTGAGAAACTCAAATTAGAACCTTACCTTAGAACTTCATCTGAGAAACTCACATTAGAACCTCACCTTAGAACTTCATCTGAGAAACTCACATTAGAACCTCACCTTAGAACTTCATCTGAGAAACTCACATTAGAACCTTACCATAGAACCACAGCGTAGAACCTCACTGTAGAACCTTACATTAGAACCTCACTTTAGAACTTTAGCTGAGAACCACACCTTTAAACAGGTAGGAACCTCACCTCAGAACCTGTGTTTGTGTGCAGGTAGGTATGCTGTACACGCGGTACCTGCTGTCTGTGAGTGATGAGGAGCATCCCTTGGTAGAGATGGAGAATGTCATATGTCTACTGAAGGACAACAAGGAACTCTACATCCAGAAAGACCACCTTTCAGCCAGGCTCGACATCTGCAGGTGTCTGCGCTTATGTATATGTTTGTGTGTGTGTGTGTGTGTGTGTGTGTGTGTGTGTGTGTGTGTTGGTAAATAACTCCTGACTCTGTGTGTGTGTTTCTTCAGAGAGCTGGTGAAGCTCTTCAGCTTCGAGAGCAGTCACAGGAAGGAGCTGGTGCACTTCCTGAGTGGTCTGATGACGTCACTGCAGGACCCTGCAGCTCTGAAGAGGTTCCTTCAGAAGGAGTGCCCAGGAGAACTGCCCAGTGAGGAGGAGGCATGGGAGGTCCCTCAACCTGTAGTACCTGTACAGCCAATACCAGGTAGAGTGTGTGTGTGTGTGAAGAGACTCTTGCGCTGACCAATATGACTACACTCATTGGAATATAATGACCTAATTTATGTAAGTAAACTGCTGACATTCCTTGTTAAAACTCCTCTCCTCCAGTTCCAGTGGCATCACCGGGGCCCCCGGTTGTCTCAACCCCAGAAGATGATTCCCGTCCTAGGCAGGAGGATGGAGAGCAGACGCTAATGTGTTGGCCTCCCCGCGCCTCACTCTCAAACACAGCAGCCAGTCGCACAGGTACTGAGAGTTCTGTGTGTGTGTTTCTGTGTGAATATAGTGTATACCCATAATCCTGTATGATTGTATCCTCTCAGACCGCCAGCAGACAGCAGGACCAGTGGAGGCTGTGTTGAAGATGTGGCCCCCTCCGGCTGAACCCAAAGACAGCCCCAGCCATGACCCCAGCTCCATCTCCAACCACAGCCCCAGAGAGAGAGACCCAGAGAGGGAGATGGACGCAGGGAGAGAGGGTGTCCAGAGTCAGAGCCCCCGCGATGGCACAGCGGCGCACCTCCTACCACCACACAGAGACCACGGGCATCCCAGCCACCTGGGTACCATAGGTCAGACCCTCTTTGTCCTTATTATGGCGTATTTAGGTGTTTATGATGGTATATGATTAGGTGATTGGTTGATTTGTCGATTGATAAATGTTTTGATCATATGCTTGTAAGCAGTATGGAACAGTATTGTAATTCTCTCCACTCCTGGTTGTTTTGCTCCACACAGAGCCCAGTCAGGATGCAGCAGTGGAAGCAGAGCAGAACGCAGACAGAGCTGTGGCAGGTGGAGAGTCTGGAGGAGAGAGGCCCAACACTCACAGAGCCAGCCAGCACGCTGCAGGAGGCCCAGACCAGACCAGTGGACACACCCAGCAACAGTAAGACCCATCCCCTGGCTGCAGCTTCTACACTCAGAACATTTAGTTTTTTTGCAGTAGTCCATTAAATGGCGTCTTTTAAATGTTGCTTGCTACACTACATGACCAAAAGTATGTGGACACCTGCTCGTCGAACATCTCATTCCAAAATCATGGGCATTCATATGGAGTTGGTCCCCCCTTTGCTATAATAGCCTCCACTCTTCTGGGAAGGCTTTCCACTAGATGTTGGAACATTTCTGCAGGGACTTGCTTCCATTCAGCCACAAGAGCATTAGTGAGGTCGGGCACTGATGTTGGGCGATTAGTCCTGGCTCGCAGTCGGCATTTCAATTCATCCCAAAGGTGTTTGATGGGTTGAGGTCAGGGCTCTGTGCAAGCCAGTCAAGTTCTTCCACACCGATCTCGAAAAAACCATTTCTGTATGGACCTCGCTTTGTGCACGGGGGCATTTTCATGCTGAAACTGGAAAAGGCCTTCCCCAAATTGTTGCCACAAAGTTGGAAGCACAGAATTGTCTAGAATGTCATTGTGTGCTGTAGCGTTAAGATTTCCCTTCAATGGAACTAAGGGTTTTGAACCATGAAAAACAGCCCCAGACCATTATTCCTCCTCCACCAAACTTTACAGTTGGCACTATGCGTTGGGGCAGGTAGCGTTCTCCTGGCATCCGCCAAAACCAGATTCATCCGTCGGACTGCCAGATGGTGAAGCGTGATTCATCACTCAAGAGAATGCTTTTCCACTGCTCCAGAGTCCAATGGCGGCGAGCTTTACACCACTCCAGCCGATGTTGGCATTGTGCATGATGATCTTAGGCTTGTGTGCGACTGCTCGGCCATGGAAACCCATTTCATGAAGCTCCCGACAAACAGTTATTGTGCTGACGTTGCTTCCAGAGGCAGTTTGGAACTCGCTAGTCATTGTTGGAACCGAGGACAGACGATTTTTCCGTGCTTCAGCACTCCGCTGTCCCGTTCTGTGAGCTTGTGTGGCGTACCACTTCGCAGCTGAGCCGTTTTTGCTCCTAGACGTTTCCACTTCACAATAACAGCACTTACAGTTGACCTGGGCAGCTCTAGCAGGGCATCCTATGACAGTTCCACGTTGAAAGTCACTGAGCTCTTCATTAAGGCCATTCTACTGCCAATGTTTGTCTATAGAGATTGCATGGCTGTGTGCTCGATTTTATACACCTGTCAGCAACGGGTGTGGCTGAAATAGCCGAATCCACTCATTTGAAAGGGTGTCCACATACTTTTGTAAAGTGTACATATGAAGTGGGTAAAACAGTATGTAAACATTATTAAAGTGACCAGTGTTCCATGTCTATGTACATAGGCAGCAGCCTCTAAGGTGCAGGGTTGAGTAACCGGGTTGTAGCCGGCTAGTGACAGTAATTTAAGTTCAGGGCAGGGTACTGGGCAGAGACCGGCTAGTGTTGACTATTTAACAGTCTGATGGCCTTCAGATAGCAGCTGTTTTTCAGTCTCTCGGTCCCGGCTTTGATACACCTGTACTGACCTCCCTCTTTCTCCCGCCTCCCCCAGATTCAGTGCCACAATTCCAGAGGGGGTGGTGTCCAGTGTGTTCCAGGGGGCTAGCCAGCGTCCTCCCCTGGCCCTGGACTCACCTGTTTGGGCTAAACCTCAGCATCCTCAGGCCCTCCTGGAGGACCTGCAGCTTGACTGCCAGAGACCTTCCACAGTGAGTGACTGATCACACATTTATGATGATTTATAAACACACACATTAGGAGGATCATCCCGCTGTTTCGAAATCATCATCAACAACATAATTCTAAGGGAGGACAGGGCATACATTGGAAAGTGCAAATGTTGTTGTTGATTTCTATAAGCAGGAAGTCACCCTGCTGTATATGATGATGTCATATTGCTGAGTGTACCTTTTTTAAAAAGGTGTATTTCCATGTGTGTCCTGTAGGTACTGTTTTCTGACGATCAGGGGGACACGGTGGCCATCGGGGAGTGGGGCGAGCAGCTGGTCTTCTCCTTCCTCTGTCACTGGAGAGACAGCCAGGCCCCCGGGGGGCCCATCCTGGTCACCTGGTACAACCAGCACAGAGAGAGCGGCCAGCCCTACGACTTCAAACTCACCTTCAACCTCACCCAGGAGGGGGAGGCAAGAGAGGGGGAGGCAGGAGAGGGGGAGGAAAAGGAGGAGAAACAAGAGAAGAAGCAAGGGATGGTAGTGAGAGAGGTGTTTGTGGAGGTGAAGTCAACGGTGAAGAAGGACAAAGCGTTCATCCACCTCTCAGCCAACGAGCTGGACTTGGCCCTGAGGGAGAGGGAGAGGTATCACGTGTTCAGGGTGTACAACGCAGGCGACTCCGAAAAGGTCCGTCTATGTCGTATACAGAACCTGGCCCAACACCTCCATGCTAAAGACCTGGAGCTCTTCCTATTTGTCTAGGAGAGATGATGGGGCACCCTATTCCCTATATAGTGCCCTAGCCAAAATAAGTGCACTATATAAGGAATAGGGTGCCATTTTGGACCAAGACAAGTTGTCTTTCTTCCTGACTGTGTCTTTTAATGTCCCTCCAGTAACATTTGGATTCAGGTCTGTTGAACATACCATTTGATACCATAATGTAGATGCCACTTTTGTTCAATTTAATACCATAAAAAATACTTACTTTATTAACTCAATTCCCTAGTGAATGACAAGACGAATACCAGCTGAAACAACTGTCATTTATTTCCTGAGTGTGTCTTATCTTTGGTAACATTTGTGTTGATGTCTGTTGAAAAAAGTTGCTTCCCTTAGTTTATTAACTGTTTATTTTATCATGCGAGGTGTTTTTATCTACCTCTGTGTAAGAGGGGTCGGGTTTCTATGTTCTAGCTGTTGCACTATTGTCAGAAGGACTGCAGAGAATACTTTTACTGGAAACTGTTTTACATGGATTTGTGCTGCCTTTTAAACAACCTTTTAAATGCACAGATTTTCTTATAAGAATCTTTTATAGTTTGGAGATGTGTTGAATCTTGACTGATCCGATGTAAGTGAACATACACTTATGAAATATTAGTTTTATGCCCTGTTCTCCATCCCAAGCAAGTGACAGGACATTCTCTAGTATTCAGTCAGTTATATTGTAATGTCATACTGGACTGTGAGTTATGTTATACAGTTTCGAAACCAAGATGAGGTGTTTGATTCAAACAGAATATTTTATTTTTGTCTGTTCTCAACCCAAAAAAACGGAAAATACTGAACAACCGTTGGCGTTAGATTTGTTTTATCACTTCTCTTATCATTCGTTTGAAAAATAAAAACATTTCCCCCTGTAATATGGGGGCAAAAATAGTCTAAATGTAATTTATTTTGTACCATTTTGTTTCTCTGATCTTTGGAAAGTAATCATAGGCTCTAAGTCTAGGTGCTGCGACTCACAGAATGCTAGCACAGCGTTGTGACGCAAATGCACACACACACACACACACACACACACACACCTCTTTGCTCTTTTCAGCAAACTTCGTGTATTTGTGTGTGACATCCAGACCCTGTAGAAACAGAACGGTTTAGAGGCCTCTCTGTACCAGAGGATTAAGTGATTATGATGAGTGTGTGTGTGAAGATAAACCATGCAGAAACGGAGCAGAGCAGGCTGCCAGACCAGACCGGCGCAACACACACAAGGCTCACACCGTTCCTCCTTGATTACTGTATAATAAAGAACAGACCTCCATTGACAGGACATAGATATATACAGTGGGGAAAAAAAGTATTTAGTCAGCCACCAATTGTGCAAGTTCTCCCACTTAAAAAGATGAGAGAGGCCTGTAATTTTCATCATAGGTACACGTCAACTATGACAGACAAATTGAGGAAAAAAAATCCAGAAAATCACATTGTAGGATTTTTAATGAATTTATTTGCAAATTATGGTGGAAAATAAGTATTTGGTCACCTACAAACAAGCAAGATTCTGGCTCTCACAGACCTGTAACTTCTTCTTTAAGAGGCTCCTCTGTCCTCCACTCGTTACCTGTATTAATGGCACCTGTTTGAACTTGTTATCAGTATAAAAGACACCTGTCCACAACCTCAAACAATCACACTCCAAACTCCACTATGGCCAAGACCAAAGAGCTGTCAAAGGACACCAGAAACAAAATTGTAGACCTGCACCAGGCTGGGAAGACTGACTCTGCAATAGGTAAGCAGCTTGGTTTGAAGAAATCAACTGTGGGAGCAATTATTAGGAAATGGAAGACATACAAGACCACTGATAATCTCCCTCGATCTGGGGCTCCACGCAAGATCTCACCCCGTGGGGTCAAAATGATCACAAGAACGGTGAGCAAAAATCCCAGAACCACACAGGGGGACCTAGTGAATTACCTGCAGAGAGCTGGGACCAAAGTAACAAAGCCTACCATCAGTAACACACTACGCCGCCAGGGACTCAAATCCTGCAGTGCCAGACGTGTCCCCCTGCTTAAGCCAGTACATGTCCAGGCCCATCTGAAGTTTGCTAGAGTGCATTTGGATGATCCAGAAGAGGATTGGGAGAATGTCATATGGTCAGATGAAACCAAAATATAACTTTTTTGGTAAAAACTCAACTCGTCGTGTTTGGAGGACAAAGAATGCTGAGTTGCATTCAAAGAACACCATACCTACTGTGAAGCATGGGGGTGGAAACATCATGCTTTGGGGCTGTTTTTCTTCAAAGGGACCAGGACGACTGATCCGTGTAAAGGAAAGAATGAATGGGGCCATGTATCGTGAGATTTTGAGTGAAAACCTCCTTCCATCAGCAAGAGCATTGAAGATGAAACGTTCAGCATGACAATGATCCCAAACACACCGCCTGGGCAACGAAGGAGTGGCTTCGTAAGAAGCATTTCAAGGTCCTGGAGTGGTCTAGCCAGTCTCCAGATCTCAACCCCATAGAAAATCTTTGGAGGGAGTTGAAAGTCCATGTTGCCCAGCGACAGCCCCAAAACATCACTGCTCTAGAGGAGATCTGCATGGAGGAATGGGCCAAAATACCAGCAACAGTGTGTGAAAACCTTGTGAAGACTTACAGAAAACGTTTGACCTGTGTCATTGCCAACAAAGGGTATATAACAAAGTATTGAGAAACTTTTGTTATTGACCAAATACTTATTTTCCACCATAATTTGCAAATAAATTCATAAAAAATCCTACAATGTGATTTTCTGGATTTTTTTTCCTCATTTTGTCTGTCATAGTTGACGTGTACCTATGATGAAAATTACAGGCCTCTCTCATCTTTTTAAGTGGGAGAACTTGCACAATTGGTGGCTGACTAAATACTTTTTCCCCCCACTGTATGTATATATATATATATATATATATATATATATATATATATATATACACACACACAGTCATATCTGTTCTTGTGATGCAACCTGTTGGTAACACCACAACCGAGATGGTAATGATATGTTACTAGGCCTAATAACAGTGACCGTTTAGTGCATCAGGTGCAACAGTCTAAGGTGGATTCCTCTTGCTTTTCCTTCATCTGCAGTGATCTGAAAGAACTGGACAGGTAATATCAAAGTCCTACTGTAGAGGACATTCTCCTGTTTTCAGATCAGTTATCAGCCTAAACTAAGATGATGGAGAGGCAGCCACTGTTTGTTACACAAGACTGTCATTCATCCATTGTGCCCCCTTCCTTGATCAAGGGATGTAGTGGCAAAGCTGGCATTGCTTGAAATAGTTCCAATTGTGCTGATCATAGTGGTAATATGAAACGATGTCCATCCTAGTCCTACTATAAAAATACCTAATTTTGAGATATAGCCCATCACTTTCCATGACTTGAATCCCTGTAAGGCCATAGCCCTCCCAGTTCCTCCCAATACCTTTAACAACAGTCAACCGATAAATTCACGCCTCATTCCTCCCTTTCCTTTCCCAGTTTAACTCGCTAATCTGTACGGAGACAGCGAGGACGGTCGCTCCAGTCCAGGCGTGCAAGCAGGGTCCGCTGCTATTGGTTGAGGTGGAAAAGGGGCTGGCGCCTCCTCTCGGATCCTCTCATCCAGAAGCGATGCGGAGACAATAGGACTGGAGCTAGAGGAGCCTGCGAAAGGGCTAGCGGTCCGCTGAGCAATGCGAATTTACCGCTAGACCGGGTGTCAATAGTACGATAAGGTCAATTTGAATGCAGACGGAGAACATACATTTTTATATCAAACCGCACGGCTATGCGCTACTATCATCCTCACGATTTGTTATTTATCTGGCGTGACTGGGCGGAATTCAGAGTCCTCCTATGTTGGACGGATTGAATGGTGAGTATCCTATTGCAGAATGAGAAGTAACTGATAATGAATTATCTAAACAATGTAGAATCTTCCACTGCTGCTGCGGAATGGGTTATGCGCATTTGACTGGCACGAAATGCGACTTCTGCTTGCAAGGCTACTGCTGCAAGGTGTCAGTCACTTGAAACAATGTTGTTGCTTTTGTATTTCTGTGCTAATTATTTATAGCCGTCCTCTGCACTGGATGCAATGTCTTCTGATGTTTATTATGAGCTTGCGTAAATGTGTACCTGGATCATGCCAGGGATGTGTAGTGGATAACATAATCCATTATATCCGACAATTTATATATGTTTTGCCTCTATTCGCAATGTGGTTATCTTGATTTGTTCTAGGCTTACACTCATGTATGTCAATTAATTCCTTATCAAGTGCTCTCTCTCTCACGCGCGCGCAATGACAGTCACTTTACATCATATTGACTGTTTTCCAGTATCTATTTCTTCGTCAGCTCTCTCTCCTTATTTATCTCTCGCTCTCGCTCTCTCTCTGACGGTCACTTACTTGTTCTTCACACCTGCAGGTGTCGAGGACAGAGCAGACAGAGTCATAGATATAATTTAGTATAGGTCTATGGCTAGGCCTACAGGGCACACCAGCATAGCCGCTTCTGGCCGGGGGTTGGTGCAGCAGGCGGCCAGGGTGCTCAGGGTCAGTCCGTCAAGCTATCAGAAACACACTTAAAGGGAAAGGCCTTTTTTATTATTCATCATCTACAGCACCACCCAGACTTCAACATGTGTGAAAATGGCGCATTTATATGTTTTGTAGTAAAAAAGATAAAGGAAGATAAGTGTTTCCAATGACATCATCAACCAATTAGTAGGCAATGCCTAAAAAAATCATAAGCTCCAAGGTGCGACAATGGGGAAAAAGTCCACCTGGGCCAAATATGGGCTTAGGTACATTATCCTGAAAAACTCTTGGGCAGATTGCAGGTGCGAACAGTGGCTGGTACGGCACAGACCACCAATACGCTTAGGGATGCCAAGGACAGTTGTAAGTCACTCTGGATAAGAGCGTCTGCTAAATGACGTAAATGTAATGTAAATGTAAAGCGAAAGATGAAGGAATATTACATCTCCACGCGTTTTAGTGTCCAGTAGCTGCTGTGAAAGGATCTTAAAGGGATAATTCATGATTTTGGCAATTAAGGTTAATCTTTGTTACGGTCCTGCCAAGGCCCCGACAGTGATACAGTTTATCCATAACTGTTGTGTCGTCTCTAAGGGGGCACGTCGCTTACGCCCAGTCTCTAAGCCTTTAGCTGGGAAAATAACCTCTCCCTCAACGTCAACAAAATGAAGGAGCTGGACTTCAGGAGACAGCAGAGGAAGCACGCCCCTATCCACATCGACGAGACCGCTGTAGAGAAGGTGAAATGTTTTAAGTTCCTCAGTGTACACATCACTAACAATCTGAAATGGTCCACCCACACAAACAGAGTGGTGAAGAAGGCGCAACAGCGCCTCTTCAACCTCAGGAGGCTGAAGAAATTTGGCTTGGCCCCTAAGACCCTCACAAACTTTTCCAGATGCACAATTGAGAGCATCCTGTCGGGCTGTATCACCGCCTGGTACGGCAACTGCACTGCCCGCAACCGCAGGGCTCTCCAGAGGGTGGTGCGGTCTGCCAAACCCATCACCGGGGGCACACTTCGTGCCCTCCAGGACACCTACAGCACCCAATGTCACAGGAAGGCCAAAAAGATCAAGGACATCATCCACCCGAGCCACGGCCTGTTCACCCTGCTATCATCCAGAAAGGAAAAGGAAAGGGGGATACCTAGTCAGTTGTACAACTGAATGCATTCAACTGAAATGTGTCTTCCGCATTTAATCCAACCTCTCTGAATCTCTCTTTGGCCCCCGGGGAACAGTGGGTTAACTGGCTTGCTCAGGGGCAGAACGACAAGGCGAGGTCAGTACAGGTGCATCGAAGCTGGGACCGAGAGACTGAAAAACAGCTTCTATTTCAAGGTCATCAGACTGTTAAAAAGCCATCACTAGCCGTCTACCACCCGGTTACTCAACCCTGCACCTTAGAGGCTGCTGCCCTATGTACATAGACATGGAATCACTGGTCACTTTAATAATGTTTACATACAGTGAGGGGAAAAAGTATTTGATCCCCTGCTGATTTTGTACGTTTGCCTACTGATAAAGACATGATCAGTCTATAATTTTAATGGTAGGTTTATTTGAACAGTGAGAGACAGAATAACAACAACAAAATCCAGAAAAACGCATGTCAAAAATGTTAGAAATTGAAATGGGAAATAAGTATTTGACCCCTCTGCAAAACATGACTTAGTACTTGGTGGCAAAACCCTTGTTGGCAGACGTTTCTTGCAGTTGGCCACCAGGTTTGCACACATCTCAGGATGAATTTTGTCCCACTCCTCTTTGCAGATCTTCTCCAAGTCATTAGGTTTCGAGGCTGACGTTTGGCAACTCGAACCTTCAGCTCCCTCCAGAGATTTACTATGGGATTAAGGTCTGGAGACTGGCTAGGCCACTCCAGGACCTTAATGTGCTTCTTCTTGAGCCACTCCTTTGTTGCCTTGGCTGTGTGTGTTGGGTCATTGTCATGCTGGAATACCCATCCACGATCCATTTTCAATGCCCTGGCTGAGGGAAGGAGGTTCTCACCCAAGATTTGACGGTACATGGCCCCGTCCATCGTCCCTTTGATGCGGTGAAGTTGTCCTGTCCCCTTAGCAGAAAAACACCCCCAAAGCATAATGTTTCCACCTCCATGTTTGACGGTGGGGATGGTGTTCTTGGGGTCATAGGCAGCATTCCTCCTCCTCCAAACACGGCGAGTTGAGTTGATGCCAAAGACCTCGATTTTGGTCTCATCTGACCACAACACTTTCACCCAGTTCTCCTCTGAATCATTCAGATGTTCATTGGCAAACTTCAGACGGGCCTGTATATGTGCTTTCTTGAGCAGGGGGACCTTGCGGGCGCGGCAGGATTTCAGTCCTTCACGGCATAGTGTGTTACCAATTGTTTTCTTGGTGACTATGGTCCCAGCTGCCTTGAGATCATTGACAAGATCCTCCCGTGTAGTTCTGGGCTGATTCCTCACCGTTCTCATGATCATTGCAACTCCACGAGGTGAGATCTTGCATGGAGCCCCAGGCCGAGGGAGATTGACAGTCTTTTGTGTTTCTTCCATTTGCGAATAATGGCACCAACTGTTGTCACCTTCTCACCAAGCTGCTTGGCGATGGTCTTGTAGCCCATTACAGCCTTGTGTAGGTCTACAATCTTGTCCCTGACATCCTTGGAGAGCTCTTTGGTCTTGGCCATAGTGGAGAGTTTGGAATCTGATTGATTGCTTCTGTGGACAGGTGTCTTTTATACAGGTAACAAACTGAGATTAGGAGCACTCTCTTTAAGAGTGTGCTCCTAATCTCAGCTCATTACCTGTATAAAAGACACCTGGGAGCCAGAAATCTTTCTGATTGAGAGGGGGTCAAATACTTATTTCCCTCATTAAAATGCAAATCAATTTAGAACATTTTTGACATGCGTTTTTCTGGATTTTTTTGTTGTTATTCTGTCTCTCACTGTTCAAATAAACCTACCATTCAAATTATAGACTGATCATTTCTTTGTCAGTGGGCAAACGTACAAAATCAGCATGGGATCAAATACTTTTTTCCCTCACTGTACTGCTTTACTCATTTCATATGTATATACTGTATTCTACTGTATTTTAGTCAATGCCACTCTGACACTGGTCGTCCTAATATTGATATATTTCTTAATTCCATTATTTTACTTTTAGATTTGTGTGTATTGTTAGATACTACTGCACTGTTGGAGCTAGGAACACAAGCATTTCGTTACATCTGCAATAACATCTGCTAAATATGTGTATGTGACGAATAACATTTGATTTGATATTAACAGAGTGTAGGATGGAACAGTCTGTTTAGTCATACCATTTATCCAGGAAAAAAACACAATACCTCTAAAATAGAGAGTTTGCATAAGGGGCTGGCACTCTTTCCATTTTAATAATTTTTTTCTCACCAGCTATGCCCCGAGGGCTAAAGCATCCAGGTGAGGACCGAGAATTGCTTTGTTCGCTAGGATATAAACCCTGTATGACAATAGCTGCCAGGACTGGTTGTAAGCAGTGTTGTAACTGCTGACCGGAAGCAGCTCCCCTGCTCTCTGGGCCGTCAGGCCTGCGGAACTAAGAGGGCGGGAGAACGGGGTCGTCAGCCCCCACCTCCTGAGCTTTCTCGAGGATATCTGTGAGATTAATGTCACACCCTGATCTGTTTCACCTGTCTTGTGCTTACTCCACCCCCCACCAGGTGTCTCCCATTTGTCCCCATTATCTCCTGTGTATTTATACCTGCATTTTCTGTTTGTCTGTTGCCAGTTTCGCTTGTCTTGTCAGGTCGTACCAGCGTGTTTCCCGTTTTCCTGTTCTCAAGTTTAGTTTCTAGTCTTCCCGGTTCTGACCTTTCTGCCTGTCCTGACCCTGACCCTGCCTGCCTGCTGTCCTGTCCCTGCCTGACTCTGACCTGGATTATGAACCTCTGCCTGCCGTTAGCCTGCCCCCTGTGTTATAATAAATATCTGAGATTCGAACTATCCATCTCGTGTGTCTGCATCTGGGTCTTATCCTGAGCCGTGATAATTAATCCCATCGTCATTCTCGTCATCCCCTATCTCACCTTCCGCTGACAGTATGTCGTCAGACAGTGAGGGGAGGGAGTCGAGGTTATCCATGATACCGAGATAGAAGCACGTTTAAGCCTCCTCTTCAGACCTGCCCTCGTCAGAGTTTTGCAGTTCTCACTGGACTCAGGGTCCTCTAGCGCCTCTTTGGCATGTTCCTTACCCAAGCAATTGATGCATTGAGGGTGGGAATCTTTCCCTGCAATGATGGAACCACAAGCACAAGAACATGGGGGTTCGAGTGCTAGGCTCGTCCTGGGATGGGATAGCAGTGGCCATTGTGAGGAACAAGGCTTGATAGGGGGACAGAGTAACGCCTGCTGTAAGAACAACGTGTAGATGGCGTAGGCTAGTTAGTTAGAAACCTTGCTCCTGGTGGCTAGCAAATAGTAGCTTGTGTAAACAGCGTAATAAGCCAGCTAGTTAAAAGCCCTGCGGCTAACAGATAGCAATAATGAGCATAGTAGAACGCTATAGCCGCTAGGGGGCGTTGGGGCATTAGCTAGCTACCAGATACCTTGTGTTGAAGGCATATGGCTAGGTCAGTACGGGCTGAAGGAACCCGCTTGGGGGCAGAGTTAGCCTTTAGATCAGGGGTGGGCAAACCTTTTGGCTCAAGGGCCACATTGAGTTTTTGAAACCAAGTGAAGTGCCACATACTATATGCGTGACAAAACATGTGAAGCCTTTATTCATTTTCACATCGACACGCAGCTACTAGTGTACTGTAGGTGTACATATGCTTGCAGAACAATTCTACCCTTGTTTTTTGTGAACACATTTTTCACAAATGTTTCACAAAATGTATATAATTTATAACATCACAGACACAGTCAAACACACACAC